TGCCACGTCGTGCAGCACGAGCAGTCCCTTCTGAAAGCAGCAAGCCCTCCTTGCCCTCCATGCCAGTCCCCATGCCTGCACTGCCTGACTTGGCCACTTCCAGTTCCTCCCCCCTGGCTGCTTTAGGACACCTCTGGATGTCTGAGGGCGCTGCACGGGGCAGTGGCGCAGCGCAGGAGCTGACCCCGAAGCAAGTGGGCTGGATTGTGCAACCCTGTCAGCTGTCAGTGTGCAAACCTCGCCTGGGGCCTCGCAGCGGTTTCTGAAAGACCTGATGCAGCAGGATGCAGATGACCAAGCAGAGGCTGTGACATGGGGCAGGGACAAATGGGGGAAATGTGCAGAAAATGGCTCCTCCTGGCCCCTTCCATGGAGAGGTGCAAGCCTGCATTCAAACACCTGATGTACGGGGTACGTTTGGGCTGGAAACATCACTTGTGCCCCTCAGGACGGGGCAGTGTAACTTTGGGGAGAGCCAGGTGTGCTCAGTTGCTCTCTCTGCGTGCCTGCGTGTGAAACAGGACTGCAGGACCCGTCCTGCTGGGCAGCCCGCTGAGATTTGCTGATGGAAGGAGCCGTGCCTGAGCACCACCAAAGTCCCCTGGTGTTGTCTTCTGGTCGCTGGTGCTGTGCAGCGATCACCACACAATGCAATTTCCCCATCTGAAACCACAGTTTCCTTTCAGCGAAAACTCCCAAAATACATCCCAGTGACGTAACTACTACTTGGGGTTCTCGTGCTCGGCTGGGTGCTGCAGAGAGCTCTAAGTTCGGAAGGCAGCTTGCAAACTATGGGAGAATAGCAGCCTAAAGCTTTGGAGATGCTGAGGCTCCTCTTCCGCAGCAAGCCAAGGATCCAGGAGGCAAGTGTCGAGCTGGTAAAATATCTGCTCTGCGTGCAGTGCCGTGCTGTCTGTTCTGCAGGGCGCAGGGAGAAGTCGGCGAATCGCCCGAGCTTGGAGAGCCAGACCTTGTCCAGTTTTAATTAACAGGTTTTGCTTTTGGGAAAGGCATTATCCGATGGTAAAGCTGCTTTCTAAGAAGTGTCTTTCCTAGGTGCTGCCAGAATTTGGGAATGTTTTGGGACCAGAGCATGTGTGAAGCAACAGAAATTAAAACAGCTTCTGGTTAGTTGTTGATGAATAGGAAGCGAAATGCCAAAAGCATAATCTGTTTCTAGCTCTTGCAGTTTTTTTTTCTTGCATTTAGATGTGACTATATCAACCAGCAAAGTGACAAAATGCGAGCAAAAACAAACCTGTCTCTCGGCTTCTGGCTCGTAAAATCCTTCCTCAAAAAAGGGGAAAGTGGGAGAGAGGACTTGTATTTTGAACTTGGTCTTGGAAAGAAACCGAGCGTGTCCCCAGCCCCTGGTGCAGGATGTCTGAGCCATCTGTGCAGGCAGAGCGCGGCGTTGAGAAGTTCAAAAGAAGTTGTCTCCTCCTCTGCCTCCTGCCACTTCCTGGACTCGAACCTGGTCGGCGGCCGTGGGTGTTCTTTTATTTTCCAGGAGTGGTGATTGTAATTTCCCGGCGGAGGGATCTGTGTAAGATGGCCTCCCCGAGCCCGTGGGCGTCGGAAGATGGCTGAGAGCTCGCTGGAGCAGCTTCTTGGTGCTGCTGGGGTGGACCCGCAGCGATCTGTGCCTTTGGGGGCAAATCCAGTCCTTCCCTGGTGGGCACGGCACTCGCTGCTCCCCGCGATGTGCTGGGGAGCCCGAGCCGTGAGGGAGCAGGTTTCCTTCTGAGTGTGTGCCATCCCCAGGGGCACCGTGAGGGTTTTGTGGGCACTTTTGGGCACTAGGGCTCGGGAAGGGGTTCAGCTGGGGCTCTGCTGGCTGCCGAGCACGTCGGCTTCCCACCATGGCAAGTGGGACAGCCACCTTGTCCCAGACCTCCCAAAAGAGACCTCGGCCACTCCTGCACCACGGTGGAGAAAGGAGTGGACGAGGCGAAGGCGAGGGCCCCCTCCGATCTGATCGAGTCCTTCCGGAGCTTAAAACCAGTTAATTCTGAGCTCTGATCTCGCTGCTTTTGCGGCTCCTCCCTGCCCTCAGGGCTGGCTTTTTTCTTCTCTCGCTTCTCCATAGCTCCTGTCCTACTTTCAGACCTGCTGGCAGCCAGTGGCAGTCGCTCTGCCTCGCGCTGCGCCCACCCGGTGACATTCTCGGCGCCGCAGAGCCCTGCCAGCGCCGCGGGCTCCCACGTGTTCGGCGTGCTGACTAACGGCTCTGAAAGCAACAACAGAAGTCACAGCTCGAGTCTCTCCTTAGATCCCTTCTGTGCGCAGTCACACGCGTTTTATCTCATCTGCAAGCCGAAGACACGGACCTCTCAGGGGAAATGTTTCGAATGCGATTTGATTTTTGGGGTGGTTTTTCTCTTCAAGCTTCAGCTCGTTCTCTCAAAACCAGATGAAAGCATCTAGCTGCCACAGCCTATCTACGTGCATTCGTAAAAATACAGCAGGGTAGGGATCTAAGCTCTGTCCATCCAAAAACTTCTTCCCCATCCGAGTTTTTGGGAGGAGAAGCATCCGTTTCCTAGCTGAGCAGCAGTTCTTTCCTAAGCTCCCTTCAAATGTTTCTGCCTTTCACTGGAAGGGTTCACAGAATTCTGTCTGGTCCCAGAGGCGATGTAAAATAATATTTCTAATATTGCTCAGGGACCTGTCATAGCAGCTGAGCTGCCCTTCCCTGCCCTGCCCTCGAGGGATGTGGTGAGTTTTGCTAGTTTGAATACGTTCCTCCTGGCTGCTCCAGAAATGCCGAGCGTGCCCTTGAGGAGAAGCCCTCACCTCTTCACCACTGGGCTGCCAGACTTCTCTGCTGCGCTGGAAACTGGGGACATCGCTGCCAGAACAGATGCTTTTGGAGCCCAGTCCAGATGTAACAGAGCAAAATCTCGTTTAGACGTTAATCAACCTGCCAGAAGTCAGTCTCCCTCTTTGGTGGTGGTGCTCTGGTTCTTGGGGAACGCGTGTATCCCACCGCCAGCACCACGTCCTTCTCTGCTGCCTGTCGGAGCCTGACAAAGGCTTTAAGAGCAGCTGGCTCCCCCCGGCTCCTCCTGCTCCTGGACCCACCAACACGGCTCAGGATGGCATCCTGAGGAGGGGTGTGCGTGGTGGGACACAACCGGGGACTGTATGCAGCTCGCCTAGTCTTACCAACCAAATTATTTGGGAAAACTTGAGCAGAGTATCACAGCCCCTCTGTGCTGACGCTCGTTTGTTGTTCCGCAGGCAAAGTCAGACATCACTTGGATAGAGAAAGACCTTGTGGACTCGTCAGACAAGGTAAGAGCCTGCTGCAGGCGCTGCCTCCAGGAGATGCGTGCGTGCAGTTCATGCGTGGTGCCATGGCAAGTGGTCCCCAAAGCCTTACACCCTGTGCGAGGGTGTAAGCAGAGCTCACAGGGACCTCAGAAAAAAAAACAAAACCTTCCTCGCAGCACGCACCTAGCGCCCCGTCTCAGCTAGGTGGAACTGCTCATACAGAAAGCAGCGATTAGTCACCTGCTCACATGACATCCTAGACTTGACTTCATCCTCCTCCTCCTTCCTCCCCACACCGACCCCCTTTCCGTGCTGTCACTTTTGTCTCCTGCAGCTTTCTGATCTTGTCAGCTCGCTGGGGCGGGGGCTCCAGCGGTGTAGTGACATGGGTGTACCGTGCCTTTTCCTGGCCGTGTTTTACGGGCTCTGCTCCCAGGGGCGGATAGCACGTAACATTGGCGTGGTCGGAACAAAATTTATCAGATCTTCGAGAAAGGGCACTGGGTTTGCGTGCTGGTTGGGTGCCTGCAGCTCCTGCGTGGTTTCACCGAGCAACTGTAGAGCTGCCTGGGAAGTGGAAGCTCGTCTGCGGACGGGATTTCTGCTTCACTGGGGCTGTGGCTGAGTGCGGTGGGTGTCAGGAAGAGCTGGGTCTCGCAAGGACTCCTGTTCATGGCTGTGCCGAGCTGTTTCACGCTGTTCTCTGGCACCTACTCAGCCTCCCAGTGGCTTTGGACCTCACCGCCTGTTGTTGAGGTTCCCTTTGTAGAGCTGGGACCAGCTGGCTCCTGGTATGAAATCATTTTGTTATCGGTTATCAAAGAACACGGTGCAGGGCGGAGGAGGGAAGACATTCATAGTCTCTCTGGGTCCAAACCAAGATCCTCTTTTGAAACCCTGCACTCTGGAGGATTTCAGAAATCAATACTGACACGGAGTTATTTCTAATTGCAAAGGTGTGTGGGTGTCATTTTACTCATTTCAAGGGGTTTCTGTCTTATCTGCACTCTCGAGGGTGTTGCTGCAGAAGACATCTGTCTGTCCTGACCCACTGCAAAGGTCAAAGGGAAACGGGTTTGGAAGGGGAATGAGGCAAAAAGGGTTGGTTGGAAATAAAAAGGAGAAAAGTAAGCTAAATACCTCTCTTCTGTCCTGCCAGTACATTTGAGCAGCAGTGCGTTCAGACGCTGTCTGCTCCAGAACTGCCTTTAAAAATAAAACACCTTGCATGGAATTGCCCAGGGTGGCTCTGAGCTAACTCCACCATCCCCAGCAAGGACTCGCGTCCAGCACAGAGCTAGCGAAGGGCTAGATGCAAACCCCAGGGATGGCAGAGGATTGTCCCATGGGATTGGTGCACGCAAATCCCGCTGTGAGTGACCCATCACCCCCGTGCAAGTGCGAAGAGCAGAGACGTGCAGCTTTCCTAAGTGCTGTCACACTTCTGTGTGGGGTTTCTTCAGTGTTTCTCTTCCTTTTAAAAGAGTAAGAGGTTCCCAGAATACTCCCCTGGTGTGGAAATACCCCCAAAGTGTGAGCCTGACATGAGATTTGTGCGGTACGAGGTGGAAGTCAGGCTTCAACCTAGCAGACCACGCACATTTTCTGTGTTGTTCGAGCGGAGAAACCAAAGGCGAACAAGGAGCCGTAAGAATTGTTTTTCTTAAAACCAAAACTAAAAAAAAAAAAAAAAAAAAAAAAAGCCCCAACCACAAGCCCTGTTGCTGGGGAGCGGGAGCGTGAACAACCTGCCTCGTGGTGCGACCGAGTCGCTCGTCTCCACTGCGCATCTGCCAGCGGGGCTTTAACCACCTGCAGCTCCTCCATCCGCCAACCTCCAGCGCGCGGGGGCCTCCCTGTCCCCAGCAGCCGGCCGGCAGCGGGGCTGGGCGATGTTGAACGGGATGGGAGAATGGAGAGGGACCCAAAGCTTCCTCGCATCTGCACCTTCCTCAAGCTGTGGCTGCACAGGAAACACCGAGCGAAGCCCTGCAGCCTGCAGCTGCCTGCCCCCAGCCAGCTCTCCAGCCCGGTCAGTATTGCCAGCTCAGCTCGCCGGGGGGCTGCTTTGCTTCATTTTGGGTCGCTCCTTGCTCAGCCGAGGCTTCAGATGAGTTTTCGGAGCAGCCTGGTTTGCTTTTCTTTTTGCTCCTCGTGGAATAGTTCGTTTCGTGGTGCCGTTAAGCAAGCTTTGAAGCTGATGGTGAGAAACCTGGTGCAAGTGAAAGCTGTTAGTGCTACAGGTCGGTGGCACAGAGCTGCTTTTGTGCTGGAGACTTATTCTGGTGCACAGCTAAACAAGCTGCTGGAGCTGGTCTCCAGAGCTGCAGCCACTGAACTGCAAGTTACTGGATGAGTCCCTGGGGGGAAGCTCCCTCGTGTCAGCAAGATGCCAAACATCTCAAAGATGTTGTCAGAAAGCTATCCACAACGTCTCCACAGATGCCACTTTTGGTCGAGTTGGTGTGTGTGCGTGTTTGCTGCTGGGCTCTGGCTAGCAGGCTGCGCATGCAAATCTCTGCCCACCAGGAGATGCAGCTGGGGCTGCTGAAACCACTCGCAGCCACACAGCCGGTCCTGCCATGGGCCGAGGACAAGAGTTCCTGGGGCTGTGCTCCAAGGATGGGTCCAAATGTCTCGGAGGAGGACACGAGTGTTTATTTTAAGTGCTCCTCTCTGCATAGGTGTGTGAGGCTGCAGGGTGAAATACGCTCAGTTACACAAGTGCTGGTGCTGCATAGACTTGGTTTGTTCAAATGTCTTCATGAAGATGGCAGGAGGGGAGGGAAGAAGCCCCAGCAGCCTGCAGCCAGCCCTGTATTGCTGCAGCTGCCCCTCAGGGTGTTTGGGGTACCGGCTGCTCCTTTTACTGTGCCCGATGGCTCGTGTGACTGCTTCTGCGCCTGAATGCTCTGACCACGAGGCCGTGGGGTGGTCAGAGCCCCTCGCGTGTGCTCACAGGAGCGTTCCTACAGCTCCCAGCTGGTCCCATCCTGGGTCTCCCAGTGAGAGGGACAACCTGGAAGGACCACAGGAGGAGTGCGAGCCTGTGGGGTCCTCTGGGCTAACTGCTGGCTGGAAATGGGAAGCTGTTTGTAACCAGCTGTCTGCCACGGGCTCAGCCTCCGAATGAAACCAGAAGTGCAAAGCGGGTGGTTTAAGCTGAGAGATGGTACGGGATGTGAGAACTTGTTGGCACGGGGGTTTTAAGGGCTTGACTGCGGTCACTGAGGTGATGGTAAGAGCAAAAGGCAAGACAACGTGGGGGGGAGCTTCTGTCCTGTCCTCGTACCTGTATCATACACCCCCCTCGTGCTGTACCACCAAGGGTGTCAGCTTCTCTGCCACATCTTAGTGTCTGAATTAAGGTGAGGGATCTTGAGACAGCAGAGCTACCAATAAACACAGACCAAAGCCACTTCCTAATCTAGACAAAAGGCAAACAAGAGAGTGGGAAAGGAAGGGTGCGCGGTGCCGTCCTGCAGGTAGGCGACCACATCCGTGTGCTCGGCGCAGCCGCCCTCCCCAGGAGGTGTGCGAGGGTGGGGAGGGGGCCGGGGTTCAGCGTGTGTGGGAGGCGGAGGCTGAAGCTTGGTTCCTGTTGTTTTTAAAAGCTGCTTTAACGAGGCGGCTTCCAGAGCATGTCTCTGAATAGTTTTAGAAAAGGAAGTCTGATTTTTTTCCCCCCGCCATGCTTGGCAAGAGGAAAATCTAAATAAGAATCCCAGCTTTCTGCTGCTCTGTGATGGCCACACCTGCCCTAGGCTTGGAGATCAACCAAGTTTCATGCCCTTTGGAACATAATCGCTGGGCCAAATAGCAACCAGACCATGGCTAACACTGAGTAACGTGGGGCTGAAGTGCTAAGAAAGCTGGACTTGCCCTTACAAGACGTGTGGCCACAAGGGGTTTCTGGCCTGAGTAAGACCTGGTGTCTGTAGCAGCGGGAATTTGGCTCCAGCTCTCCCCATGGGCTGTAGGGGAGGTGCTGGAACAGGTCTGGAGCAGAGGAAACCTAGGTGTAGACCCACTGGCTAGGTGTGATCCATGAGAAGTAGAAGAAAAGGCACAGCTGCAAGGCTGGAGGTGTGGAAGGTCTCTTCCTGCTTGGAGATGGAAATAGGAAGCGGCACGAGGTGCCTGGGCTTTATGCACCAGGAGGGTGGACAAGTTTTGCTGGGGAAAGGAGGTGTTTCTGCATCACCTCGCTGTCCGTGGCTGTCCTCATACGCTCCTCAGACCACTCGGGTCTAGCTTCATTGATAAGTTTATTCTAGGTACTGCTGATTAGGTCTCTTTTCCATTTTGTTTCTTTTTTTCTTTCTTTTTTTTTTAATAAAAGAATGTGTTTTAAACAAAACATGTGCCAGAGACCTTGGCTTCCCCTCAATCTTCTTGAAGGCTTGAGTCTGTTAAAAAGCATCATCTGTATGTGCTGAAGATGCACTAAGACTTATGTTGCAGAGTTGCTCAGATTGCTGAGCAGATGGGCTCCAACATGTCTGATTTTTGCCAGCCCTGGCCGTGTTTTGACAACAGTGCTGTATTTTTGTGTTGTGGGATTTTTAGTGGCATAAACACTCCTGTTTTTGCCACCAGTGCCTTAAAAAGGAAGGTGCTTTTAAGCACTCTTCTGAAATGCAGTTCAAAGAAAGGAAAGGACAAGGGAGCGTAGCGTTTGGGGAGAGTGTGGGCTATTTAACAAGGCTGCCTAGTAGAAGCCTACTGGTGACTTATTTGTTCCAGATGTTGAAGCCAGGAGCTACCTGTGACAAGCACCAGCTTTTATGGTTCTCTCAGATGTGGTTCCTGTGAGTCTGCAGCTCCAGTCCTTGTTCCTTGCTTGGACAAGGCTTTTTTCCTTCTTGTTCAGTAGTATATTCCCAATCAACTGTGTCCCCTCTTTTTCAGGGTGAAGGCGTTGTGAAGGAAATCAACATCACGCACCATGTGAAGGAGGGCTCTGAGAAAGCCGACCCTTCCCAGTTTGAGCTTCTGAAGGTTCTGGGCCAGGGCTCTTTTGGCAAGGTGAGCTGAGTTCTTCCTGTGCGTCATGCCAGATAAGTGATCTTCAGAGAGATGACAAAAGGGACTGTCCCCAGCGCAACCACCTTCCTGATTCTCACCAGATCGTGGCTAAGGAGAATCTGACTGATAAGCCCACTTAGCAAATGGCTGCTTCTAATTTGGAAGGCAGCTGGAGAGATGCCTTCTCATAAAGGCCAGGCTGTATGTCCAGAGCCCCCCTGTAAGTCTTTTTACAGATGATCAGGAGGAAAGAAGTACGATCGTGTTTGTGAACGCAGGTGTTGCACAAGGCAGAGGGACCTCCTGCAGCCCTCTAGCAGGCTGCCACACTGCTTGGTCACACTGAGGACAGCGCTGGGGCTTGCCCCTCTCTTCTCAGAAACGATGCTGTGAACCAGGGCTGGGTTTGGCCCCTGTTTACAGTCCAGTTTCCCTTCTGTGAAGGGTGAAGGAAGTAGCCTGTAACTCTTATCTATTTCAAAGTTCAAGCAGTCCAGGTCTTTTTGCAAGATCATCTGCTCCCACATTAAGTCTTCAGCTTCGTTTCAGTCCAGTTGCCATCACCAACAGTGAGGGCTCATGCAGCAGCAGCAGTGGGCTTTACTGCAAAGAATGGCAGAGGCTTTTTGAAGCTGCCTAAAACCAGGCAGTACGGCACACCAGGGAAGGGAAGGAGGTAAAAAAAACAGCAAGGATTTCTAAGAGTGAGTTGCTCTTGCTGTCAAACTGGTATGACACCAGAAGGCTTTGTGGTACGTCAAAACATCACGGTGAGTCTCCCGGGATGTCGGACACTGAGTGGCAGGAGCTGAGAGTAGGCAGGGTGACTTCTGTAGTGGTTGCTTCAAGCTAGGAACACGAGGCTGCTCAGGACACTTAGTCACAGCTCCCAGTCATCAGTCACAGCCCCATGATAACTGCAGGAAGGAGCAAGAGGTGTGGAAGCCTGGTGGAGGAAAGTGCAGAATAAAAGCATGAGTGCTGTAATGGCTGGAGACAGGGTGTGAGACATCCACACACAACACTTCCCTGAAAACCTCATGGGATTTGCCACTCTGGGAGGCACCCAGCTCCTGGTGCTAATGTTTAGTGCTCAGCTCGTGTGTTCTTCTTCTGCCTCAGGTTTTCTTGGTGAGAAAAATAACACCGCCAGACAGCAACCATCTCTATGCCATGAAAGTGCTCAAGAAGGCAACACTGAAAGGTAGGAGAGTCTTACTGTGATGCTCTTTTCCTCCATGTCCTAAAAATGGATGGCGAGTTGCACTGGGAAAATGTCACAGCAGTCACTGCTGGCCCTGGGGTGATATGGCTGAAAGAGAAGTATCTTCACCTCAGTCAGAGCTAAAGATACCTTGTCTTTCTGTATCCAAGAGACCACTGTTGCAGTGCTGGAGGTAGAAAATATCTGCATCAAACTGCCTGATTTCTTTAGGACTAGGGGGCAAAGCTGGTGCTGGGGTACTGTGTGCCTTTTCAGTGCCTGAGCTGTTCCTCTCCTTTCCCACAGTGCGTGATCGTGTAAGGACAAAGATAGAAAGGGATATCCTGGCTGATGTAAACCATCCCTTTGTGGTGAAACTCCACTACGGTGAGTGAAAAACCAGCTCTGGGACACTGGGAGAGGGTACCTGGCTGTGCTTCCTGCCCGAGGGCTGCAGCCCTGAGCAGACACTGACTGCTTTTAAGCACAATAAAGACTCTGCTCCAGGTGTGCCTGCTGTGAGCAGGTAGAGAAGCATGAGGCATCCAGCAGCAGGCTGGTTGGAGGCTGCTGAGAGATTCTTGTGGTCTCCTAACAGGTATCAGATGCTGAAATGGTGAAGGGACCTTTATCATTCTGCATCCCTCACTGGCTCTGCTGCTCCAGAGCCTTCACAGTCCCCTTAAAGCAAATCTTTATCTGGAAAGGCCTTTGGTCTCCAGCCCATTCTAGCAGTTGAATGGGGAACAGGGCATTGACCAGGAGAAAAGGTTTAAACATCAAACCCTTGGGATTAAAATATTAATGCAGGAGAAACTGAGAAAGCAGAGTCAACTGGTCAAGCCAGAGTAGGGCAGGATTAACGCTCTGACTCTGGGGAAGTTGAAGACACCTTCTTTCCTTTTAAAATGACCAATGTATCTCTCAGTAGGGCATCACTGGTGGCAAGGGAACAAATCCTACATAAAATGACACTTTTGTGCAGTGCCAGAGTCTTACTGGTGAGCTTCCCTTAAAACATTATGGGCAGGCTATCTCATTTACCCCAAATAATTAGCCCTACCTGTGTGTAACCTACTAACAATGGAGGGCATCTGCACAGCTGAAGCCACTGGGATTTAAGTGATTACTGTAACACCACTGAGCTTTCTCTGAGCAGAGGGGTCTGATTCCTGCTCTGGCTTGTGTTTCAGCATTCCAGACAGAGGGGAAGCTGTATCTCATCTTGGATTTCCTCAGAGGAGGTGACCTTTTCACTCGGCTTTCCAAAGAGGTGGGTATATTCTGGCATCGTGGTGGGTTCCTGGGGCTCTCAGTTCACATGTGCTTAGTTACCTGGAGAAGCAATTGACTCCTGCAGAGTCTTTGAGAGGGATAAAAAAACCTCCAACCTGCTGCTAGCCTACAGCTGGCAGGAGGAGAGGATGTCTCAGGAACCCTGTCCTCTGGCAGAAAAGCACCAGCACAGAGGCAGATCTCACCTCCTCAGAGGCTTCTGCTGAGCATCACATTAAGAATGAAACCAAGCACATGCCGTGTTCTGCTGCGGTGTTGTCTAGATGTGTTGTTTCACTGGGACAGGGTGAGGACACGAAACGGGAGGGGCAGCAAGTTGTGCCAGATGAAGCCAACTAGGAACATAACCTGGTTAATGTAAACATTGAGGGGTTTTGTTATTTTTTTTAAACTGTCTGCTACCTAGCAACCTTGTTTGTTTGAGTATTGATGCTCAATTGATGCTTTAGGGTGGAGGGCATAACCTGTGAAACTTTGGTCTGAAAAAGCAGAAGGGATAAATATGGGTGTGTGTGAAAGCAGCTGCCTGGGTGCAGCTGAAGTGGTCCTGCTGCCAGGGTTATAACCCCGGTGCCTGTCTGCTTCCTCTCCCTTACCACAGGTCATGTTCACAGAGGAGGATGTGAAGTTCTACCTAGCAGAGCTGGCTCTGGGACTCGACCATTTGCACAGCCTGGGAATCATATACAGGGATCTCAAACCGGAAAAGTACGTGTGGCACAGCTGAGCCAGGGATCCGAGTTCAGTCCTGAGCCCGCTGTTAGAACCCAGCCTTGCTCCACACAGCCAGAGCTGACTAACGCCCCCAGGCCAACCAGATGGGAGGCAGCAGAGCAGATCAGCAAGGCTCTTGCTCCTCGCATCAGCAGTTACGGCCAGGAGCACTGTGGAGGCAGCATGTGTGCACCACATGTTTGAGCATTAATCCTGAGCCAGCTCTGGGCTCCAGCTTAAGCAATCGAGAGCCTTTGGAGGGAAAAGGCACCACACGGGGCCTCTGAAGAGGTGCATAGCAGCTGCATGACTCGGTTGTTCTTACCTGGGATATGTGGGGGATCGAAGGTGCTGTAACCTGCTGGCTCATTTGTTCAGTGGGAAGGTGGGTGTGTAGAGAGAAGGGAGCTGCTTTCTCCTGCTTATGCTTTGGTGATGGAGTTTGAAGCACTGGGGTTGGAAGGAACAAATAACTTCCTTCTCTGGAGTTCTAGGAACATCTCTGATCAGCCTCCAAGGCATGTGCTGGTTCTAACCAGCCTTTTTGCAGATAATAATGTTGTTTTGTTTTGTTTTTCATCTATGCTGCAGCATCCTCCTGGACGAAGAAGGACACATCAAACTCACAGGTAAAGCACTCCAGAAAAACACTGTGCTCCAGCAAGCCTGGTTCTTGATACGGAGCTTTGCTTCGACCTCTCCACTCTGTCAGAGCAGATGGGTACATGCTAACGGTTTGTCTCATACGTAGATTTTGGCTTGAGTAAGGAGGCTATTGACCACGAGAAGAAAGCCTATTCCTTCTGTGGGACGGTGGAATACATGGCACCAGAAGTTGTGAACCGTCAGGGCCATTCCCACAGTGCTGACTGGTGGTCCTACGGGGTGTTAATGGTACGTACCAAACCGTGCCTTCGGAAATCTGGCTGCTCAGCAGCTGCTCAAGTGGGAGCTCTGAAATCCCCTTGCATGATTCTGCATGTCTAAGAGATGTGCTGACCTGGGGATGTTCTCAGCGCTCCCTGGAAGGACGTGAGCTGTAACAGGCTGCTCAGGCAGCGCAGGCTCGCAGCCAGGGATGCCCGTTTCTCAGGGGATGCAAAGCTCCTGCGGCTGTCCCAGTGCTGGGCTGTGCAGCGTGGGGTGCACGTGTGGGCATCCATGTCAGCCCCAGTGCCGGGCTGGTGGTTGCTGTGCGGATCTGGTGCCACCATCTGGCAGCTGCTGAATCCAAGGGCTCCTAGGAGCAGGCACTGGCTTGAACATATCCCTACTATGAACTGGATATCAGGCTCCCTTCTGAGAATATGATGTCTGCTATCTTACTTCAGAGCTAGGCTTTTGATCGCTTACAAGGCTCTTTCTAGCTTTGGAGAATTCCCTGCTGAAGGTGTAACGAGATCTGTGCAGCCCTCAGACTTGCTCATACGTGTGACCTCCCCTTGTTCTCTTTCCCTCCCAGTTTGAAATGCTCACTGGCTCGCTGCCGTTCCAGGGGAAGGATCGTAAGGAGACAATGACCCTCATCCTCAAGTAAGAGGAGTTTCTCTTCCGTGTGTGTATATAAAGAGGGCAAGCTCGCTGCTCTTTCTCTGAGCATGTTGCAGTTTGGGGCTTCTCACAACTTAATGGCATTACGTGGAGAGTGGTTTGGTATCAACAGTTAGTTTGAAGGGTGCAGTATAAAATGCCAAACAGATTGTTGTACTTTCAGGGGTGGAGATACTGCAGTTGGCTTGTGGGTTGACTTCTTTAAACCTGCAACTGATTGCATAACTTCCTCTCTAGAGCAAAGCTGGGCATGCCTCAGTTCCTGAGCTCTGAAGCACAGAGCCTCCTGCGAGCCCTTTTCAAAAGGAATCCAGCCAACAGATTAGGTAAGACATTTTTTGTTTCTGAATACACCTGATGCTGTATCTGGGCCTCTCACGTCCTAGTGGGTCAGCAGCATGTTTGCACTTGTGCTGGGTTAATGGGCTTGGTTCATTACAGCCAGGTTCCCCGTAATACCTGGTTGTGTTGCATACATGCTAATAGCCTTCGCCTTGTTGGTGGTCCTGATTAAACATTTCGTGCTCCACGGGTGCCTCTTTCAGGTTCTGGTCCAGATGGGGCAGAAGAGATAAAGCGCCATCCTTTCTACTCCACTATTGACTGGAATGTGAGTATCAGGAATTCAACAGCAAACTTCCACACCACACAGCACCAGTGCTGCGCCTCTCTTGACTGGAATAATTGCAGTTGTGCTGCTTGCAGCCTCATCAGCCATGGCAGCGCTGCCAATCTGTGTTCCCATCTATTCTAATTATCCTTCCTGAAACTACAGTGCTGTTTGCCATGCAAGTAACTGTCTCATACCTGAGTTGCCTATGATCTCACCCTAAATTTCCTGATTTCTCAGAAGTAAGGTGCAGGTTATAGCTGGGGTTTGGCACAACAGGAGTTGCCTTGCATGGAGTAGGAAGGACTCAGGGAAACGTTTCTGGCCAGGCGATGCATTGTTCTGTACAGAGAAGCAGGGCAATAACTGAATCTGCATTTCCCAATTGCTTCTGGCCAACTCCCTGCTTTACCACAGAATTTTATTTCTTCCCTGTTTTCCCTTACTTCAGAAGTGATTTTGAAGAGCAATCTTTTAATGCTTTCGAGGCACCCAGCAAGCTGCTAGAATGAACCTCCAGCATTGCTGTCAAGCTCATTTCAAATTTTTGCTAGAAGAAGCAATTTAAAAAGGATACTTGCGGAGGTGCTGGGATATTAATGTCCTCCTGGGGCATTTCCTCTGGCTGTCCCTGGAGGCACATGTGACAGCAAAGCGTTAATGGGCGTTAGGAAGCAGTAGAAGGGCCTGGTGAAGTAAATACTTCATGGATACTGCTTTAGGAGTGGGGCCAAGTTGCACATAGAAGACTCTTTTTTTTTTTTTTCTTTTTTTTTTTTTTTTTCCTTGAATGCTGTATTGTGGGTGGTAGAAATTCATAGTATTTCTCCACAAACTGACTCAAAAGTACCCTCCTGGCAAAGAATTCATCCCCCAGACTGCTGAGCTGTAGTTAAATACGAAGTCACAAGGCTGCTTCTGGTTCTGCAAAGTCTCTTAGCCTCTCATTCCTAGCAGCTCTTTGCACCCTTCTGAGTGCACTGACCTATCAAAGCACTTTCAATCTGCCTTTACTTTGCAGAAGCTGTACCGAAGAGAAATCAAACCACCCTTCAAGCCTGCAGTAGGCCAGCCTGATGACACCTTTTATTTTGACACAGAATTTACATCACGTACACCAAAAGGTTTGTATGAATTCATGCAGCCAAAGCTTCCTGTGTGGAATAATACTGCACAGATTATTATGGGATTGCCTATGCCATTAGCACAAGGTTTGCCTCCTTTTAGTGCTGCCTGCTTCAGGTAGTGGCAGCAGTGAGGAGTGCTAGCTGTAGACATGCAAAGTGTTATTGGTAAGCTCAGAGCTGTGTGGTATGGCTTTTGTCTGGAATAACCTCAAGAGGAGCTGTAGCTTCTGGGGAGCAAGGGGAAGGTTTCTGCTTCCACACGGCCAGCCCTTCTTAAGTTTTCTTTCAAATCCTGTTGCAGATTCGCCAGGCATCCCCCCTAGCGCAGGGGCCCATCAGCTCTTCCGAGGCTTCAGTTTTGTGGCAACGGGATTGATGGAGGATGGCAAGGTGAAACCTGCCCAGCCCCCTCTGCACTCAGTGGTACAGGTAAAAAAAAAATGGGACAGAGGAACAACTGTGCTGAAGCTGCAGTAACTCTGCAGAGCACTCCAGAGGGGGGTTGCAGGACCCGTGTGCTGTTTGGAGCAGGGCTAAAGGAAAGCCTGTGACCGTGTTATTCTGTTTTGAATTCTTGCATCCTGTTGTTCTTTCTTTTCTATTGATTGTCATGGGCAAAGGTCAGCAGGGCACTTCGAGTCTGTTTGCTTTCCTCTCTCCAGGCGGACCCGTGCTAGTGGGAGGTCTGTGCAAACGCTTGCAGGTTGCAAGGTGCCACAAAAATGCACCATGCTAGATGCAGATAGCGTTAGCCTACTGACCTATATTTGCCTTGTTCTCTTCTCCTCCCTCTTCCCAGCAGGGAGGAGAAGCTGTGGGATGTAGCAGACAGCAGTCTGTCAGTTTGCTCTGCGTTGCAGTTAACTCATTGAGTTGCACAAACTGTTCCCTGAACTCTCCCAGCTCATCTGCTCTCCACTCTCCTGTTGCAGCAACTGCACGGCAAGAATGTCCAGTTCAACGACGGCTACGTGGTGAAGGAGGCAATTGGTGTTGGCTCCTACTCAGTGTGTAAACGCTGCATTCATAAAGCAACCAACATGGAGTACGCAGTCAAGGTCTGAGATTCACACTCTAAACTGAACTCCCCTGGTAGATTTCTGCTCATCCCCATGATGACCAAAATAATACCAAAGAATAAAACTGCCTTCCCTGCTTGTGTGGGGCCTAAATGTACAATTTTAGTGCTTGTATAACTGCACAAGCTTGCTTATCTAGAAATAGTGGGGAAATAGTGTTCTCCTCTCTAACAGAGGGAGGACAGTGTTCTGCCTTTCTTTGCAAAGCTTGCTGTGGCTATGCCAGATCTTAGCAGATAACCTAGACGTAAACTTTGGGGTCTGGGGACATAAAACCATTGAAGCAACTGGGGGATTTCTTGAGCTTATTGCTACAGAGGGCAGGGGACAGAGAATAGATATAGTACTGTATGTATGCAGCACTCTAAACATTCAGCTGCTTTGCTCTGTCCTGGCTGCTTCCCCATCCAGCTTGTGGCTAATGCTTGTCCGTACTCTTGCAGGTTATTGACAAGAGCAAGAGAGACCCTTCCGAGGAAATTGAAATCCTCCTGCGATACGGGCAGCATCCCAACATCATTACCTTGAAAGATGTGAGTGTAACTTGAATGACTTCTCATGTATATGTTTATATGTTTATGAAGTGCAGACCGGTCTGCAGGGCTCAGAATGCAGCTCCAGCATGGGCAGCCCAATGGCACTGCTCCTCGTTATCACTTTGGGGTGGGGAAACATCCACGCAGTACAGATCCCACCGCTGCATTGTGGGCTTCTGTCTGCTTCTTGGTGGTAGAAATACAAAAGGGAAGCTTGGGAAGCAGCTTTTGATTAACCCCCTCCATATTTGCTTTGCTAGGTTTATGATGATGGGAAGTATGTGTATCTGGTGACTGAGCTGATGAGAGGAGGGGAGCTGCTGGATAAAATCCTCAGACAGAAATTTTTCTCGGAGAGGGAGGCCAGTTCGGTCCTGCACACGATCTGTAAAACGGTGGAATATCTGCATTCTCAAGGGGTGAGTATGGTTACATCTGTTTTCCTAGGCAGCTGCCGGGCATTGCACTGCACTTCCTCTCCTCCAGGGAGTAACTGTGCCTGTCAGGACTATTGTTTCTTGTGTTGCTGTCTTGGCAAGCCAGATGTGGGGCCAGAGCAGGGGCTGAGTATCTTGATGCAGCTCCAGCCCTTTGTTTTCTTGGGGTATGAGAATGGCACTTTCTTCTCTCCGCAGGTAGTTCACAGGGACTTGAAACCCAGCAATATTCTCTATGTGGATGAGTCAGGGAACCCTGAGAGCATTCGCATTTGTGACTTTGGCTTTGCCAAGCAGCTGAGGGCTGAGAACGGCCTTCTCATGACTCCTTGTTATACTGCAAACTTCGTGGCACCCGAGGTAAGCAACTTGTGGACTTCAGTAGCTGTCACTTCCCTCCCTGAGACTGTTCTCTCTCTGCACAGATAGGTCTAACTCCTATCTGTTTTGGCATATTTTGTCTCAGAATAGGTAATTACAGAAATAACAGCACTTGGAGTACTGAACAGATATGGGGGCTTCAGCACAATTGCAGTGCAGTCCTCCAACTTGCCCTGTCCTTACCTCTGCAGCTGCTGGGGGCTTTGCTTAGGGCAGTGAGACTTTAAAGTCCAGTGATTTTTGTAGGCTGCTTCTCTTCCTGATTAACTGACCTGTCAAAAGAGGTGGGGTTATTTTCCCTTCATCTGTCTTGGTGTGGAAGAAGGAAAAAGCTGAGAAGCAATGGAACATACATGCAGTGTCACCACATCATAACTTCTTTCCCGCTTGTCATTTTGATGTGGCTGGGGGGTTTCCTCTGTTCCATGAAGCCAAAGTCTGATGGGAATGCTGACCTTTAGTCCCTGACTTAGCTGTTCAGTAGGGCTTTAGAAGCTTTGCATACAGGCTACACGCAGGGGTCATGCCGCTCTTTGCAAGCTGATAGGAGCTCAATGACAAGAGCTAAACACTTTTTCTCCTTTGCTTACTCGTTCCAGGTACTAAAGCGGCAAGGCTACGATGAGGGCTGTGACATCTGGAGCCTGGGAGTTCTCCTTTACACAATGCTTGCAGGGTAAGTGCTTCCGTCATGTTGGAAGGCAACAATGGAGACCAATGCCCTTGCCCTGAGCCGTGCTCTCCTCGTGGGTTACTGCTACCTGGAGTCCCTCCTTGGCCTGGATACAGGACAGTAACTCACGCTTGTTCTCTTCTCTCCTCAGCTGCACTCCATTTGCAAACGGGCCCAGTGACACTCCAGAAGAGATCCTGACCCGAATAGGCGGGGGGAAGTTCTCTGTCAGTGGAGGCAACTGGGACACTATTTCTGACTTGTCCAAGGCACGGTTTGATATTCAGCTGCATCACATTAAAGGGTTGGGGTCAGGCACGGCCAGTTGCTGTGAGGCGAGTTCAAAGCAAGTTGGGGAGGGAGGGCAGAAGGGAGAGGAGAAAGGCAGCAGCGTAGCTTCCTACCCCATCCACAGCTTCCCCATAAACAGCTCAGCAGTGTGCCTCTGCCTGCTTTGTTCTAGCTCTGGTTGTGAATATTTGCATGCAGCACCAACCTCATGCTTGAGCCATGCTGGGTTTGTTGCTGTGTTATACCTCCCAGGCCCACTGAGAGCATATTTTATACAAAAGGGGATTGATGTCTGGGGTCCTTAAACTTGGCCTCTGAATTTAAATCCTAATTTGGGAGCAGGTGGGTGGTATTTTTTCCTTTAAAGTGTGAAGTCTTCTAAAGTCTGACTTTCCAAACGATGCCTTTAGGATCTGGTATCAAAGATGCTTCACGTAGATCCTCACCAGCGCCTAACAGCCAAACAGGTCCTGCAGCATCCGTGGATAACTCAGAAGGACAGCTTACCCCAGAGCCAGCTGAATCACCAAGACGTTCAGCTTGTAAAGGTACAAAATCTGCGCTGGGTTCCTCGTATACCTTGGGCTCTTTGGAAAGCAGTTGTCCTGCTAAAACCTTGGTGATAGCATTGTGGGCAGAGCAGGGTGGAAGGTCATAGAGCTCTGGGCCAGGAGAAGCAATATAGAGCTTTTTTAGCAGGAAAGCTTAGGAAATAGGTTCTTTAACTGCATGGCAATAAGGGAGGGAGATTTAAAGGAAAAATAAATGCTGCTGGCTTTGTTTGAGGGTGTGGCGACTGCTCCCTCATCTTATAAAGCCTCTTCAGCATCTGAATGACTTCTCGTGCCTTCTCTCCAAGGGGGCGATGGCTGCCACCTACTCTGCACTGAACAGCTCCAAGCCAAGCCCCCAGCTGAAGCCCATCGAATCTTCCATTCTGGCACAGAGGCGGGTGAAGAAGCTTCCTTCCACCACACTGTGAAACCGGGGCAGCCTGCAGCAGCGCGGTGCAGTGCGGTCACCAGACTTTGCACGACCTACTGAAGATGAGGGGCAGGAAACTGGGTAGTCAGTGCCTGCAAAGGAGCTCCCTCGAGGACTTTTTCTCAAATCCACGTCAAGGCCAAGTGCCTTCCGCCCCGAAAGACTTGTTCCTCCTTGTGTGGACTGATCTTTGCTGAGAGAACTTCACTGTAAAACTTTTTTGAAGTGTAAATTGTCAATTTTTAAAGACATCCATCTGTGTATATGAGAACTAGAATGTATAACTGATGTCAAGTGGCACTAAAAAGCAGCTCTGATTCACCCTTTCTCGTGTAGGGCCAGATACTTGTTGTAGCTACATCATTTCTTGGAATTGATCTGTTTCAACGCCAATGCAGCTGGAAGACTGCAGAATGTTTGGGTTTTTAGGCTTTGGGTTTTTCCTCCCTTAAAACTCTGGATGCCCTTCTCAAAGTCAAACTTGCAGCCTCCCAGCCAGCAGCACTTGTGTTTGTAAAGATCCTTCCCCCCCACACGCCCTCCACCTCACTGTGCGTGTTCAGAGTGTAAGGTCAGTTTTCAGACTCAGTTTCTTCCTTTTCCTTCTGCCCTCCCCTGGGCCACGCAGCAGTTCTCTGAACAAAATAAACCCCGTGTTTTCCAGACCCTCCTGTAGATGCTCAGATCTCCGGAATACCTGCTAGGTTTGGCTCATCCCTTCCCCCTGCCCTCCTGTCTTCATGTGAACTCATCCCAGGGCTCCCTGGGGATCCTGGCGCCCAGGCAGGTGTGGACAACAAAGAACCTTCTCCTCCTCAGCAAAGCTGGGGCTTTGGGCTGGCTCTTACCCTCGTTGGTTTTCCTTTCACTCTGCAGGAATCTGTGAAACAAACCATCCTTTTTTTTTTTTTTTTAATTTAACTTTGTTCTACAGCTGGTAACTCAGGGTTTCTTTCTGAATTGTACAATAAACGTGTCACTCAGTTGATGTTATTTTACTGACTGACTTCTAGCTGCAGAATAAGCGACCCCAGCCCTCTCCCCCTGTCATGTGGGGATAACGACTCTTGGCTGCCTCTTGGGAGAGCTGCAAAGCTTTTTCATCTGGCCCTGTGATGAGAAAACCAGCAGTGCTGTAGTTAGGCTGCGTGTTATGCCACCTTCCCTCAGGTGCAGTACGTCACTTTGCAGCGGGAAATAACTAGAATTAATTGTGGAATAAGGCAGTAATCAACATGAAAGGTGGCAGGATGTGGGCTGCAGAGGGGAGCTTCTCTCAGGACATTTTAACGTTCGTAGAAACCAATGCTTGGAGGTAAACTGTGCTAAAAATGTATTCCAGACCCGTTCTCACTTGCAGGGAATTGCTAGAGCTCTCCTGGCTCGGTGGTGGCTGTTCCTCGGGAGGAGCAGGAGAACTACAGAGACTGCAGGTGCTCAAGGATGCGACCGAAGTCAGTAAATGTTCTCATATGAATTTCTCCTACTTTGGCCTGGTCATATAATGAGGGGACACTTGCTTGTTGCTTTGTCCTTTTGCTTAGTCCTGGTTGACTCTAAAACGGAGAATTCAAAAAACATCTCTAAAATGTACAGCTCTCTTCCTCCTCCTCCACCCCTACCCAGGCAGGTCCTGTTTTACTCTGGAGCAGCCAGCGAGAGGCTGCAGTAGGGATTCTTTCAATATTTATTCCAAGTGCTGTCCTAGTGCCCAGTGCCTCTGAGAGGAGAAGGCCAGTGTCAGTGCGTGCTCCATCCCCTCACCGGGATTGCCGCAGCCCCCAGCAGAGCTGGATTTAATGCTTTAAGGCTGGATCGATGCCCTTGATCTGCCTGTGCTGGGTTTACTCTGCTGTGCTTTGGGAGTCAGCGAAGATGAATTGATGGAGTGGCATCTGTTGTAGCAGAGGTGTTTGCTCTAATACGCCCAGTGGTTTCCTTGCGTCAGAGGGGCTTGTCTGGGATAACGGGACTTTGTGCTGAAGGCAGCAGAGCCCTGGCTGCTGCACGTTGCCTTCCCTTACAATACCTGCTCCTGGCACGGCGCTCGTACTGCTGCCAGTGAACCTGCCTTACGTTTACCGCTGTGTGCTGACTGGTGGCAGTGGCAGCAAATGTTGGGTACCTTAAACAAGTGCAGTCGCTAGAAACGGCTTTGTGTGGAGCCTGGCTCAGTCCCCGTGGGCTGAAGCAGGCACCACAGGAACTTTTTGGGCTGTTTCCTTTTGCCCTGTTTTGGGCTTCAAGGGCTGGTCTGAAGCAGTCGGATGGCAGCGCTGGTCAGGACGGTCTCAAACCAAATGTTCCCCCTGCTGGAAGGGTAGGCTGCATGTCTGTGTGAAACCGTACGGGTCTGAACACCAGCCAGGAACAATGCTGCGCCCTGGGTATAATCCTCCCCGCGGCGGTGCTGCTGTGAGGCCAGCTGGGGACAGCTCCACGGTGTTTAGGAGACCAGGGACAGGGGCGCTGAGCCCTGCGGTCACAGCCAGCTGTCCCCTGGGCCCGCCAGCACCACAGAAGGGCTGCACCTTGCTCTCCAGGCTGTTTTTAACCAAGTTGTTACGAGCGATCCTTCTGTAAGTTAAAAACTAAGTTTTAATTTTTAGCTCCAAATCAACAAAGTGCTGTTACTTTTTTAATTCCAGTGCTCAATAAAAACGGACTTGTTGATCTTCCTGTGTACGAGAACTGTAGGCATTTGTATGGGCCCCCCTTTGTGGTTTTCCCCTGACAGTATTAAACCTTCCCCAAAATACAGCTGGGACCAACTGCTGTCATCTTAATTGAGATTGCGTTACTCGGGCTGCAAGTGGGGCCTGCGCTGAGCTGGAGTTCTTAAACCTGTTGGGGAGAAGCCAGCAGATGCCTTGGAGAAGCCCAAAGGGCTGCTCTCACGAGAGCTTGAGGCCATTCAGCTCAAACGTGGGTCAAAGAGGATGTGCAGGCTACCTTCCTTCTCAATTTGAACAGGGACAGAGATGTGTTTAATTTTCACACACAGAGAAATCTTGAGAAGGAAAACTGCTTGTGTTATTTCAGGTGTTTAATAGGCAACTTGACCTTTAAGATTTCGTCCTGTACGTCTATATGAAAGCTCAAGGGAGCAGAAATCCTAGAATCCAGCCTCCGATCGCTGAGTCTACCTGGAAGTATCGTGTTAATCCACAGACAAGGAGCCTGGAAATAATGTTGAGCATCTCTCTTTGTATGAGTCCAGCTTTTGTATAAGAAAGGTTAAGCCTTCTGATTTGGGGGCATAAATCAGCGATGTTCTCTGTTGTAAAAGGTTGACCCAGCTGAGAGGCTGTTTTCCTTCTTCCCACTGTGTAAAGTAGTCGTGCCTTCCTCTTAATGCCACGGGACTGACCTCTGTCAAATTAAACAGAGCATAAATAAACGTATTTTGGCCTGAGAAATATTCCCATCATGAGTACTCGGGCTGTCTTGACAACTGAAGGCCGGTAACTTTCTCAGCAATTGTCCTTTTTTTTCATGAGATCTGCATTTTAAGCGTCAGTCTGGCCGATGCAAATATCCTCTTCAAGTCCCCACCTCCAAGTTAGTCCAGATAATTCTAAGTTTTTTTTCCTGCATCTTTTGCTGTCTGTAGATGGGGACACAAGCCTGGGGACGGTGCAGCTGGTGGCCTCCAGGGGTGCCACCACCTCCTAGTGGCAGCCCCTGCCGCCTTCCCAGAAAAGCAGGGGCTTTGGAAACGCTCGGTGGCTGGCAGCCTGTGTGACGGTACGTGGGGTGGATGCTGCGCTTTCATGTAATATTCAACAATTTAATCCCCTTTTAAAGCAAAGACAACATTTAAAGTATATCAAGGTCTTCTTTTGCAAGTACACAGGGGGCTCTGAATAAAACCTTCATTCATGCTGTAAAAGCTGGAGGTCCACTGCCACTCCATTTTCTTGCCTCTGGTTATTAAAACATCAAGCTGTCTGACTACTTAAGCTCAGCTAACTTGCTGCCTTCCTCCTTTTGTGCTGCACTGGAACACCTGCCATTAATACTAATTCTACTCCGGAGAGAAACTCCCTTTCAGATATGCTTGTCTGAAAATAAATTGACATGTAAAAGGTCTCTTTTGTCAAGAAGTGCATGTAAAGTGCTGGGGTAAGAAGCTGATCGCTTACAAAAGGAGCCACCGACTCTTTAAATTATGAGTGTGAAGGGGGTTATAAATGTTAAATATGGGGGGTGATGTTGTAAATGGGCCGACGTGATATGACTAGAGAAGAATCACATAGCTGCATCCTCTGTTTGTTATTAGACTTTAAGCTTTGGGGTGGTTTTTTTGCCTAAACCTGTGGCAGTAAAAGCGCTGCATTGTCTCAGGGTGAATAGCTGGACTCTGTAGGAGCCCATTTGGAGAAAACTTTTTTTTTTTTTTTTTTAAAGAAAAAGTATTATTAAGAACACCTCCCTGCTTTTTAAGACACGTGACAAAAACTAAGAGTGTTGGTGATGAGTACTTTGATTCAGATGTTTAATGAGCTCCGAGGCTCCGCTGTTTTTCCTGGGACAAAAATTTGCACCCCTTTCAGTTAAGAAGCAGCAGAAGAATCCTTGGGTACTGTTTATTCTGCCATACAGGCAGCAGCGTGAGACAGCACAAGGTAAATATTTTCATTCCTGACAAAAAGAAAGGTTTTCTTTGTGCTCCTCACACCCTGTGGAGTTTATGGCTCTCTATTAAGAGAACATTTTGAAGTCTGTTCTTTGGGTCAGGCTTGGGAGTGGAAGGATGCTGCTTCAAAACCTGCTTTGATACTGACAAGCGGAGTCCGTGGTGGCGGTGGGAGAGCATCACGCTGTGCCAGCGTCCTGCCGAAGTGTTCCAAGCGCAGCCAAAGCTGTGAGCAGCTCCAGGATCCCAGGGCTGCCAACGAGGGTTCAAGTCCCATGGTGTGGGCCTGGCTTTCAGCTGCTGCTCGTTGGCTTCCCAGGTCTTCTAGCGAAGAAATGTTTCACTTCGTAATTAAGGACAAGCTGAAAGATGTTCAGGGTTGAAAGAACAAAAGTGAAATGTGCCAATTACCCAAACCCTTCTAGCTGAGCTGGTGTCACTTCTGCTTTATCAAACAAGCACAGACTCTCGTGTGATGAGTAGCTCCTATGCTGTCTTACTTTTAAACAGCAGATGGTGTTAGAAACCTATAACAGGTGGAACCTCTTCAGTTTTATGTGAGAGATCAGAAGTAACAGCAATTCCTCGTTTCCCTAGGGGTAGTTCCTTCAGGAGATAAACAGCAAAAGCTGGCCATGGACTTGGGTATTTGCAGAGAAGGAAAAGCTTCTGAATCACACATGTTCATATGAAAGAAAGCAATTCAGGTTTGACTTACTCTGGTTACAATAAAAGGAACCTGGCAGTGTTGTTCATAATTCTCCGTTAGCACCTCTAAAAGAGAGATGTAGCAGGGGGAATGAGCTGTGTTTGCTGGTGTGCCTCAAAATCCTGCTCCAATCTGCCGTAGTCGATTGGTTTCTTGTATATGATAATAGCACTTCACAAGCTTAAAGTGTTTTATAAACATTTAATTACTGCAGCATTTGACTCAAAGCCAGAAATCTCTCATTCATCTGCATCTTGCAAGGTCTGTGAAAATGATATTCAAATTACAGAATTACAACAAGGGTTGAGTTCAAACTTCACTTACAGAAGCCTCCGTTAGCTGAGATTTGTGAGCATCGCCTGTCTTCGCTTCCAGATTTGCAAAGCGAATTCCTTCCTCAGCAGTGGAAACGGTAAAATGTTTTTGCGTGCCTACGGATTTGAGGACTTGTGAGCACCCCAGGACAGGAGCTGTATTAAATCTAGGAGAACTCTGTGCTAACATCCCCTCGGCCCCTGCTGTGTGAACTTCTGAGGCAGGCAGGCACTTTTACATCCAGATGAGTGCCCCGTTGGATGCCCAGTCCCTGCAGCGTCCTCTGCTGTCCTAAGCAGTAGGAAAATGATTATTTGTTAAGAGTCGCCCTTAATCACCAAACCACTTGCAATTGTAACAGGGCTTCTCCACCCCAGCCCTACTTTTTAAAAAAGGTGGAGAGAGGCAGGCTTACAGGATGGTTTTCTGCTGCCCCATCATCTGCATGCCCTGCTCCATGGATCTGAGCCTGCTGGGAACGTGCAGGCGTAATGGGCTTTGTGACACCGAGTACAAGCAGCGCTAGAGGTAAAAGAGCTTGGGTTGGATGAATAACTCCTGTCTGTCTGCCTCTTCCAGAGCTCCTGTTTCTGTACAGCAGGCTCTTAAGGGCAGACTTGGTGTGCCACATAAAAACCTCTTCGTTTCCATGAAAAAGGGAGATGTTGGCGGGACCATACACGTGCTCTCTTGGATGCGAAGGCTTGCTGCTGGGCAGGGCAGGGGGCCCAGCTCAGACACTGGTTTCCCTGCCAGAAACGGTAATTCTGACATATTTTGAGCAGCACTTCAATAAATGCCATAGCTGGCAATCAGATCCTTCCGGCTGAGACAGATCACTCGTTTCAAGGCCCCAGTCGTGCTCTCTTGGGTGAGTTTGGGCACAGGAGAGCAGCAGCTCGCGAGGAGGAACAGGAGCGGAGCAGGGCAGGGAGCTCCACTGGTGCTTCATTAAAGCCGGCTTTGCTCCTGGCGGCAGCGCGATTTCCCCGGGCCCGCCTCCCAGTTCCAGCTGCCGGGCTCCAACGCTCTGATCTGTGCACGGGGTGCGCTGCTAATTACGGAGGCAATTCCCATGGATACCGGGAAGGATTGGCTGTACCGGCAAAAGTGATCCCAGCTGGGGAAGCGGGGAAGGAAAACGTGTTGAAATATTCGGGAAGAAACTTCAAAAGTTTCTGGAGATGGAGGTGGAAAACATTTCTGGCGTTGCTGCATCCCAACGTGTAAATCAGCATTGTTTTACAGGCTGTTCCCATGCTGGTTTACAGGAGTTCACCCACGTTATTGATTCCTTTGGCTGCTGGAGGATTTACCAGCAGAGCGGAGCTGAATTTGCCCCCTCGTTACCTGCACCCACTCGGGACCGTGCCCTCACCCCTGCTCTTGTACCCGCAGGGTGCCCTCTGCTCAGACGCGCAGCATGGGAAGGATCTTTCCAGAAAATGGCAAACAGTTTTTGTTTCCATGAAGGCAACACCCTGGGCGAGGCAACGCGCTCTCCGGGGAAGGCAGGCGCTGGCGGGCTGGTAATTCTGGTTCCCTCAGCAGCGCGGCGCCGGTGCGCGCGGCTTCGGTACCTCCCCGTCCTTTGTGCCTCATCCTGCTGAAATGCACGGATTTAAATAACTTATTTCTGTGAAAATTGATATTTGAAGGGTCTACTCAAGGAAAAAAGAGCACTCCCTGGTAAAAAGAGAGGGGGCAATACCTAGTCAGTGGGGGGGGGGGACACTTTTTATTTAAATAAATAATAAAAGGTATTGTTGAAGATTTTTTTTTTTCTTTGGGATTGTTTGGAGATTTTGGGGAACATCCTCACCAACGCTTCTAACTTGGATGTATTTGCTGTGATCTCCAGCAGAAGCTCAGGTACTGTTCAAGATGTTTCTAGCTTGCACAAACACAGAAGGAGCGAGGCAGCCAGCCTGTTGGGTTGGATTTCCATCCCTTTCTCATCCAGGGCACCTGCTCCCCTCTCCCTCCCCCTCCCAGTCCTCCCAGCTGTCTGTCTGTCTCATTTATGTCAATTAGAGATTCAATGCTGCCTGATTTAATTGGCCTGACTTTCCCCTCTAATAGAAGCCCCGCGAAGGCAGGGCATGCAGGCAGCTCTCTGCGGGCTGCCTGGCTGGGGATGGAGCCTGTCCCGCGGCCGGGCCTCGTTTGCAGAACACAATGACCTGCTTGTTGCTATCAGCTGCGACGGAGAGGTTGGTGACCCCTACCAGGGATGGGACCTGTGCGATGATGTTATTTGGAGCTTGGTTAAGGAATTTGGGCAGCCACTTGCTCGCTGCGGGGCAGCCGAGGCTGAGCTCTGCCACCCGAGGTGGCCTTCCCCTGCTCGGGGGCGGCAGCTGCAAAGCTTCCACCCGCTGTGTCTGGAGGTGCCCTCCCCGAGCAAGGCTGGCCGAAAGCTGTGTTTTGGGGCTCTGCAGGGAGCAAAAGCTGCTCAGGCAGAGTCTTTGCTGCCCCCCTGCTCCCCCTCCGACAACCGAGTCGCAGGAACCAGGCCTGACCTACTTCTCCCTGGCTCCTCGCTTGCGTTTCCCTGACAGATTACGAGGCCCTTCATCTCCCGGCAGAAATGTGAGTTTCCCAAGTAGCCGGCCCACAGAGGCATAAATATTAAACAGCAACAGTACCATCTAGTGACTTTGACTCACAGAGAGCATCAGTTAAGACGGGGACAAGGAAATGGGTGCAGTAAGGAGTCTGAGCAAAGCCCCAGATGTGCAGATGAGGTCTTATCTCCAGGTTCATTTGGATTTAGGAAGCCAACCGTGCTGGTGCCGCAGCAGCCTCTCGCTGTGATGTGACGCTTCCTTGGGAGACAATCCTGTTTTTAGCCTACTGACTCCCCGCTGAACCCAGCCCTGACCCACGCTCCCTCTGCTGGTAACGAACTAATTTACTTAATGTGTTCACAACTTCGCGCACACCCACACGCACGCACAACAGCAAATCCTGGCAGTAGCATGCGATGAAACTCAGGGCTGTGGCGATTTCTCGGTCCTGATGAACGTGCACCTTTTTGCTCTGATGAGCCAGGAGTGAAATCCTGAATTGGATGCATGAACTAAACAGACATGGTTCCGTTACTGCATCAAAAACAGGCCTAAAACTGAGCAGAAAGGGTACACGAGCTTAAAAGGCCCACTCCAAGCAGATCTGAAATTACAGCCTCTCCTTCACAGCTGAAGGGAGGAAATCAAATTAGAGCGTTTCTCTCCCCATCAGAGGACACCAGGCCTGCTGTGGCCGCGTTACACCGTGCCGTAGTTCAAGGCGTGCAGGAGATCTCCTGGGAGGCTTCTGTGTGACCAGGGCATCGCTGCAGATCGCTGTGGTACCCACAGGCTCTGGGATGCTCAGTGCTGAAGGGCACAACCCTTCTTAGCTGGTTAGCAGTGTGTGGGCACTGCCTCTTTCCCAGCCAAAGAGGCTGTTACGTGCACCAAATGCACGGGATGGAGGAAAGGTGACCCAAAAACACCGTGTTGTTGAACTTAAATGCTAAAATGTGACAGTAAACCTATTAAGTGCCATTGGTACTTGCAGAAGAAATTGCTTTGCCACCTAATCAAACGTGTCCCCTCTTTGCTATCAAGAGCACGGCGCTGCCCTAAGTCCACTCAGCCTGGCTCACGGGCTGATGGGTGTCTGACAATTTTCTGGTTTCAATTTAAACAGAAAACTAAATTAGCAAATTAATTGTTTGCCGTGTTTTTCCTCGGTCCCCATCAGCTGCCGCAGGACCTGCAGCCAATCCAGGCACCCCTCTCGCAGTCCCCAGCAGAAGGTGGAGCTCTGCACCGGGTCCTGCTATCTACCAAGTGTCAGTCATGTTAATTTTAAATTACTTTTGTACAGCTCGGTGTCAAAACGATTAAAGCATGAAAAGAAAAACTGAACTAGAGAGAGGGAAGGGTGGGGGGGAGAGAGAATGAATAATTTACCTTGCATTTACAGCAAGGACACTTCAATTTCTTTAACTCCTCAACTCTGTGAAGCCTGAAACTTTTCTTTCCTCTGCTCAACCTGCTTATGACTCCGCCTGAGCAGGTGCTCTGGATCCTCGCCTTCTGCAGGGAGGCAGTAACTGCTCGCAGCACAAAGCCGTGATAATATCTGAGTTTCTTCCCAGGTACGGCTTTTCTCTGCGCCGCGCTCACCGTTTGTTGCATTCGCCAGCACAAACCCACCCACACGCAGACCTTTCCTCCCCTTACTGCTCGGCACCCAGCTCCATTTTCTCCAGAACTTGAGCACATCGTGCTAGATAATTACATGCTCAAAAAACAGAGAAATGTACAATCAGATCCAGCCTTAAAACTGCGAGAATGAGAACCTCAAGACAGCATCTGGTGTAGGATCGCAGCATAACAGCCCTGGACTCACCGCGTCGGTTCCCCCAACTAACCTGCGTGCCTTGTAAAAACTTTGGTTTCTGCACAAAGACTGCTTTTATCTTCTTTCTTAGTTCCACCTGCGATTTCTTTCTCTTTCCAGTTACTGAATGCTATAATCAGCGGTCCTTGAAATACCATACTAAATCTGGAGAGGCCAGAAGAACAGCAAAAAGATTTGTAAGGAGGGCAACTTGGCATCACCTGAAAATGTAAAGCAAGACAAGTTTAGCTACTTCTGTCAGTTTTTGTCTTCAGCTTATACATAGGAGCATTTTCTATTCATATTTCTTTAAAAATTGGGTATATTTATTTTGAATTATTTCGTCTTGAGGGACTACAAATTGCAACGAGGTGCCTTTGATGGGAGATCAGTAGCAGGGTGACAGAGCTGCCTGGGAAATGAGAGGGGCTGGATGCTCCAGCGTAATGTATCCTGCAGGATATGTGTGGGCTTGAACCGATTTGTCAAATTTGAGCAGAGAAAACAATTTTGCTAATGGGTGTTTTCTGAAAAACGAGCGTGTTGTCTCGGCAGTTTGTGTTCTGACTTGTGCTGTCTTCTCGCCACCCATCCTTGGCAGGCGCAGAGAGGAGGCACCGGTGGCTTCTCCCTGCACCTCGCTCCAGCGTCGTTAGCCCGACAGCCTTGCCAGATCCCGACAGCTCGTGCGACGGGCTGAAAAGCACGCCTGAGATTTCCTCCTCCAAAACTTCTTCCCCGACTTCTCTAACGTGTTTGCTTTGGCTCGGTAATCCCCCCTTCCTTTAATCCTCCTGGCTTTGGTTCTGTGGCCCGCAGGGCAGGCTCCACTTGGAAGGTGGGGAAGGCAAAGGGGCACCCCTGGAATGAATGAAGCCGCCCCCTCCCTGCTGCCCCATTTTTGTGCTGCTGCCCTTGGAGCGTGGAAATCGCAGGGGTCTGCACAGTTTAGGAGCTGTGACTGGGCTGCAGTGGTGCACTGCATGGGATTTCGCTTAAGCATGCAGGCACGGCAATGTTTCTCTCATTAATAGCGGGATTCCCTTCACATGGCAATGTTTCTTCAGCTGCTGACTCACAAATAAATCATTTAACTGACTTTTTTTTTTTTTCCCTTTCCCATTTGGGAAGCTCCTGTAAACTTCCCTTATCCTCTGCCAGAGGCCTAGCAGGAGGCTTGAGAAATGAAGAGCGGTGTCTCCTGCAGCGCGTTTTGGCAATGTCACCTCAGATGTGCCGTGGGGGAGTACCGAGCATCACGACCTCCAGTCTGATAACCACAGCTTTCCCTCTCTAATATGCGCTTGGCGCGAGAGCAGCAGCTTTATAAAACTAACACCTTTTTTACTAGATGCTGCTAGTCCAGCCGCAGTGATCTCTGCTCGCTTGTGCAACTTCTTAAATAAAAAAACATTGTGAGCCGGAGCATTAAAAATACAGGTATAAAAACTACACCTGATGCAGTATTTATTTAAAATGTAAGCACAAGTCTCAAACACTTTTTTTTCCTTTTTTTTTTTTTTCCCAGTCAGCAAGGCTGGCACTTCTACTCTGCCTGGCGCTGGAGAGCTGAGTGAGAGCACGAGAGGGACGTGCAATGGATTTATTACCAACAGTGCTGCTGTATCGCATCCAACTGCAAAACCTATCAGGTATGAAACAGTTTCAAATCCTAAATTGTCTGCTGGCCCGGCAGTTAGCATCATTAATTGAACAAAGTTCAGCCCGAATAATGGATATAGGCTCACTCACTCAGGGAACTCTGCAGGGTGTGTGCTGCTGACTCGCAGTCATGCTGTGGGTTGTCCTGGTGGGATGAAGGTGCAGGAGGCGCGTTATCACTCGCACAGCTCTCGGGAATCACCAGAAACACTCAAGGGGTTAACAAGAGTGGTCAGTACTCATTTCCCTAAAAACTAGAAGACAATAAGTTAAACTAGAGCACCAAAAAGGACAGTTTAGGGATACAGCACTTTCCTCAGGTAGGAGCTCGTGCAATCAGGGAGATGTGGGCGTTTTTCTTCCTCTCCAACACTTGCATTTCCTGCTGTTGGACAGTAAGAATTTGAGTTCTGCATTTCAACGTGTTGGGTTTTTTTTTTAAGCTTTTGATAATCCTCCGATGATAATTTAAACTATCTACCAAGCAAAGTAAGGCTTTTCAGTCCAGACCACTGAATCAATTCTTTGTTAGTAGACACTTTATCCCCTTGAAGTATCCAGGAAGATTTATTCTAATGAGACATGTAGACAAAGTGACATTTTCCCATCTCCTGCTAGCTAAACACAAAATTGCAATTACCCCAAAACAACTAACATCAGAATCCGGTGCGCTGTTGGCTTTTCAATAGCGGCTGTTTATTAGCTTTCCCCAGGACCTGCCTTTTTTATTGAGGGGAAAAGGATCTGGAAACAATCGATTCTCAGCGAAAAGTTTTTCTGAGGGAGTTGTTTTTAATTTGCTGACTTGCTCCAAAGAAAGCCGTCTGTGTGCAAATTCGCAGATCTGCCGATGAGTAATCGGGAAGCTTTTGTGTTTTAATATTTTGATGGTAGAAGGAAAGTAACACAAGACTGACAGAATAAATACATATATTTACAGGACGTTCTGTATCGATCGGAGTACAAAGACCAAAATAAGAGAAGTGTAGCAAAGAGAGCAACCAACTAAATGCCAAATGCTAGAGGCGACCTGAGGCCTAAAACAAAGCACAGACCATCAGTAATTGGTGCTGGAGGAGCTTGAAGTCGAGAGATGTTTCTCTCTTTGTCCTGAAGATTCTCAAGAGCTGGAGGCTGGTGTTTCCAGCACCCCGTGAACTACGCAATTTAGAGCTATAACCCACGAACAAGACAGAAACTTCAAAGAGATCAGCAGGTCGAGGACAAGCAGGCCTTCTTACCCCGACACCCTCGATTTACATTTGGATTTTATGTTTGTAAATGAAGCCACATACAAATTTAGGGATCGGTGATAAGGAAATGGAAGCTTATGAAAGGTGTCGGGCATCTCGCATCAGGAAATTTCTATGGAAATGCTTGATTGCTAACAGGATTTACGGGTATCTACTTGCTATAATTAATCTTTCTCTTCCACATAATTTCATTACACGTTGCCTGTTTCGACTGAGTACAGTCCCAACACCCTGAAACCCATGGGTTCGGTGGAGGAAGGGTTTTTTAATGTCTAGGAGTTGCATTGCAACAGCAGAGAGGCTCAACAACTCCATGTTTCAGGGGTGGTGAGCTCCAGGGACTGGCAGAGCTGGAGACAAGGGCTCGTAAAAGGCAACAGGCTTGAGGAGACAGAGGAAGGAAGGTCTTTAACTGTTAGGCTGAATCACTAAAGCCCGTATCTAATGAACCATACGGTATTTACTGATGCCGCATGTCCTTGTCTATTAGGGACATTTATCAGCAGGCTTGCTCCCCCCCCTCCTGTTTTCCAACTTCGTTTCTTTGTGGTTTGCAGGCGTGATGCGTTTTCAGTCCTGTCTTGTTAAATAACACAAGTAGCAAGGTGCAGACCCCTGAGCCCTCTCAACTTGCTGTATAAAAGGGGCAGCGTTTTAGCCCTTTAGAGTCTCTGTTATTGGGAATCCTAGGGGCATTAGGGTTGGAAAAGGCCTCCAAGCTCATCTGGTCCAAGTGTGCCCTACCACCACCCCCTGCCCCTGTCCCCCAGCACCACGTCCAACCTCTCCCTCAACACCCCCAGGGACGGGGACTCCCCCACCTCCCTGGGCAACCCGTCCCAACGCCTGAGCGCTCTTGCTGAGGAGAAATGTCTCCTCATTGCCAGCCTGAACCTCCCCTGGCACAACTCGAGGCCGTTCCCTCTGCTCCTGGCACAGTTCCCTGTGAGCAGAGGCCGACCCCAGCTCCCCACCCCTTCCTTCCAGGCAGTTGCAGAGAGCAATGAGCTCTGCCCTGAGCCCCCCTTCCCCAGCCCAAACCCCCCCGGTTCCCTCAGCAGCACCGTGACAGGCTGAGGGCAGCCCGGGGGCTCGGTGCTGCCCCTTCCCCCCCTGCCACGCCGCCAGCGGGGTCGGAGCCCGGCAGCGCCGTTGCCTCCAGCCCTGCGGAGCGGCAGGCAGGGGGCAGCAAAGGGAAGGTTTTTTCACTTTTTTTTTTTTTTTTTTTTTTTTTTTTGTTCTCAGCCCTTTGCAGTCGGAGCTTTCCAGCCCGATTGTGCTCAGCGCTGGCGGTGTAGCAGCGGCTCCCTTTACCCTCCCCCCATCCCCACCGTTGTGGTGTGTGTGGTGGGGGGGGGGGGCACCTCTTTTTGGGGGGGCTGCTCGGGTTGTGAGGGGACAAACGGGTCTCACCCCCTCCCTGTGCCAACTGGGGGGGGTCTCCCCTTAATGTGTGTGTGGGGGGAGCGGTTGTGGGGGTGTCAGCGAGCCCGGGGGGTGCCCCGGGGAGGGCAGGGGGCCGGGCCCCCCCCTCAGCTCCCGGCCTGGGACTCTTTCTCTCTCCCGCCCCCCCCCCCCCGCTCCTAAGCGGGAGTTTCCAGGAAGCGCTGAGGAGAGCCGCATCACCGCGCAGCCCCTCACACAGCGCGCTCCTTCCGCAGAGGCCGTGGCAGCAACGCCAAGTAGTCCCAGCAGGGTGCCAGCCTTCAGCCACCATCGAGCCCCGTCCCGCTCTCCCTTCGCGGCGTTTTATCACAGAGGGGGAGGCGAGGGACGCGTTTGTCCCCCCCTCACCCCGCGGCTTTGGCCGGGATAAGTCAGGAGGAAGTGTGATGGGGGGGGGGGGAGGGGAGGTGAAAAAAACCCGAGCGGCGGAGGGATCCGGAGGCGCGGAGGAGTGAGGCGGCCCGGGGAGCCGTGCGCGAGGGCGGGGGTGAGCGGGAAAACGCGGCGCGGAGCCGGGAACAGCGCCCCCGCCCCCTCCCGCGGGGAAGGGAAGGGAAGGGAGGGGAGGGGGCACGGGGAGAAGCTGAGGGGAATGGAGGGGGGGGGGGGCGAGCCGCTGAGGGGGGCTCCCGGCCGCCCGCTGCCCGCCCTGAGGGGCCGGGGAAATGATAGGGGAAGGGGCCGGGGCCGGGCGGTAAAGTTTGGGGAAAAGTTTCCCCGGCCTCGAGGTCGGGGGCCCGGGGTCGCGCCTCAGCCCCAGGCGCCTGACAGGACGCAGCCTCCCCTCACGGGCAGGTGAGCGGCCGCGGAGCTTCCACAGCGCCCCGTTGCCCCCCAGCCCTCCGCCCACACGATTTTTTTGGCCTTTTTTTCCTCCCCTTTTCCCCTTTTTTCCCCCTTTTTTTCCCCTGTCCCCTTTCTGAGGACCCACGTTCCTGTCAGCGCACCTGGGCCCTGCGCCCCGCAGCTGTGAGGGGGCGGCTGCACCTCACCGCACAGCCCCTCACCTCACCCCACAGCACCAAACCTCACCCCACAACCCCTCATTTCACCCCCTCATCTCACCCCCACACCGCGGGTGGGCAGCCCCCAGCCCCCCAGCTCACCCCCATGTCCGAGCAGCTCGGGAAGTTCGCCCCCAACACCCCCCCCCTCAGCTTTAAGACCCCACACAGGACCCCCAAATCCCTCCAGGAGAGCACCCAGGCCCCCCCCAAATCCTCCCCACAAGGGCTCCCCGACCCCCCCACACCCCGTTAACCCCTCGGCCCGCTCCCCGTCCCGCAGGCCTCCTGTGTCCCCCCCTATTAACCCTGCCGGGAGAGGACAAAAGCTAAACTCTGATCCCGCTCGGCTTCCCCCATCCCATCCCCGGCTACATGAGCTTCACATCCTCCTGCTTAGGGCTGAAAGGAGAGGAGAACAAGAGCTGCTGCTGATTGTAAGGCCTTGCTCGGCTTCTCCCCACCCCCTCCCGGCCCCATCCCCCACTGCAGCTCCCATAGCCTCGTATCCCTCCCATTAACGCTGAAAGGGGAGGACAGGAGCTCTGATGGGTTTTTCTCAGGCTTACTCTGTTTTCTCTCTCTCCCCCCCCCACCCCACCAACCGATACCAGCTCCACAGCCCTGCATAAGTGCAAAGCACGCAGCTGGCTCTGCAAGCACAGCGAGGAAATGCCCCCCTTTCCTCCCAGCTCCACAGCCCTGCGAGGGAAAATAAATAATAATAATACAAAAAAAACTGATTCCCCTTGTTTTGCTTATTCATTATAAGGGCTCGGTAGCGTTCTTTTTTTAAAACGTGTGATCTCTTGTTTTAGAAGCATCTGTGCTTTAAGAATAAGGTTTTGTCTTCTACCGTCTTGAATGTAGCTCTTCATAATAATCTCTTGAAGTGCTCCATTTTTGTCCTTAAAGTTCTATTTTATTACCTCTCGTGGATGAGTGAAGGTCAGTTTAACCCTTTATATAGGAAAATCAGCAGCCACTTTAGAAAAAGGTTGCCTTTTTCTATACTAATTCGTGGTTATGATAATATTTTATTGAGCGGAGGGTTTTTTTCCAGACCAGTCCTGATGCACGGTGAAAGAAGTGTGTGCTTCAGCACTGATTAAAGTCATGTATGAGTTAATGAGAAGCTTGCAGAGTATGTGAAGCAAGAGAAAATCTTTAACCAGCTCTGCTGTTCCTTCTACATACCACAAACTTGTAAGCTGTAACCAGAAGGTGGATTGGATGTGTGAAATGCTGCAGTAGCAGTCCCTTGTAATTGCATCACAGGTGGATGCTCTCTCAATTAATGCATTATCGTTTTCAAAATACCTAAAAGTTGTTTGTTTGTTTGTTTGTTCCTCAAATTGTGAGACCTCGTGTTTCAAAGTGTGTTGAAATCCTTGGATGAAGGATGCTGCAAGCCTACAAAGTATTGTGTTCGGGGTTGTTTTTTCGTTTTAAACAATGTCTTTGTTTGTTTTCATGCTAACTGCTTCCTGGATTAATAGATTGATAACACAGAAGAGCCTCTCAGGTGTTGGGGGAACACAGTGGTGATATCAACATCTTAGTTGTGGGCCTTCTAATTTAAGAAATGTATTGTCAGAAGATGTAAGATCAGGGCTGAATCTTGCTTGCATTTAGGTCCAAATGTAAGATACCCTTCCTAAGGAGTCCCCAGTGAACACTGAGAGTAATTAAGTAAAAATAAAACCTTTCACTTCAGCCCTCCCCGTCGCTTTTAACATAGAGAAGAAAGTGCAACACTGTTTTCATTATGTGTTCTGGTATTTCTTAATTTTGTATTGCGTCTTAACTGCTCAAGTGACTTATAATTTCTGTGATTTGGGGGTATTTCTACACCATACTTTTAAAGAAATCATCTCACTGGGTCCCAAAAGGAGCTATTGAGCAGTCATTCTCTTAAAAAAAAAAAAAAAAAAAAAAAAAAAAAGACAACTTCTTACAGCTTTGCCTTTCCTTTTTGTTTTCTTCCGGAATTTTCATTCTTAATTGATGAATTCCCCTTTTCTTAAATTAAGTAAATATTTATCGGTATCAGTTGGATTTTTATTTTAAGCTTTTTTAAGAAGAACAGAACGTTGTCACCGAGACAATCCCTTCACACTGTGCTGAGGAGATGACAAAAAGCGAGTAAAGGAGAGTTGTGCTGGGAATGTCAGTGCCATTTTTGGAAAACAATACTATAGGAAATGGAAAATACGTTTTATGCTGGTGGGAACTTTGTAATGAGGCTAAGAGAGGATTTGATGTCTCAGAAAAGCAATTATTACGAGGGAAAAAGCAGGACTTTATCATCCATTTGTAAGGGTTCTCCGTCTGAATATCCTTTTGGGGAACTGAAATTTGGCTCAAGTCTGTTTATGAACATCTGTTGAATGGAATTTTAAAAAGGCACAGATTATAATCTTAGTTTCTGTTGACTGTTTAAGCAAAATAAAATGCAACTGCCTGTGGGTTTTTGGGTTTTGTTTTTTTTTTTAAATAGTGAGCTGCATGAATCTTCCATAGTCTATAGTACTGGCTACCTGGTTGTATATGCCCATTCTGTACGTTTTTCTCTTCTGCATATAAAATACAGCTTCCACCCCTTTCTGTAGCTGTTTAATTCCATTGCTTTCCTACTGAGCTTTCAACTTTTATATTTTTTTGCAACGGGAGACTCCTGGATATCAGTATCTCTGGTGTGGTGTTTTTGTTTTGGTTTGTTTTTCACAAAGAATACAGTGGTATATTTGAAGGGAAATTTGGAGAAACGTTGGGTATTCCCAGGGCTGTGACCATTTGCTTAGCTTCACATCCTGCCCACCTGTCCTTAGCTGGGTTTCTGTAAATGCAATCACTTTGTGTCCACTGTCTCTGGATAGTACTACTTCAGCATCTATTTCTGCAGTGTTTGTGACCTCCTGTTATTCAGGGAGGTCTTCACTGTAATTTTCCCTCCTATTATTTTGCCTCTTTTGCAGCCTGATGTTTTTGCTGTTGTTTTATATTCCAAGCGAGGATCCTGTGAATACTTCAGCTCAAAATTTAGGTCATCTTCGATAGAAGAAGGAAGAGGAAACCTAAAAAGTAAAAATAAGATTTCAACGCGCTTTAAAAAGTGACAACTCTTCTCAAAAAAAAAAAATGTACAAACTCATCTGTATTTTGTGGCTGTGTGGCTGAACGGAGGGTGCCTTTTTTGATTTCAGAAGGAAAGCTACGCATCTTCATGTGAGTGTGCTTTCTTTCCCATGTGCTTTCCCGGTCTTTTTCATTTCCACACCTGCTTTGAGCTTTAATCACTCAAATTATTCATAGACTTGCCCTGGAAAAAGAAGAGAGTGACCTCTTCCCATCTGGAGTAGATGGATTTACCATCAATAATTGTAAATGGACTTGGATGACTTAATGGTTTTTATGCTTAAAATTTTTAATTCTGTGATTTCATTGCTTTTTAAGAATTCCAGCACGTGGTCTTCTCCGAACTGATAAATCTCTATGGTATAACTTCAACTTATTTCTTGCAAATTATATCTTAACACTGGCCTCACATCCACAAAGTGCTGATGATCCCCCCATGAACTGCTGAGTCGTCAAAGAGCAGGCAGTTTTCACAGGACCAGGCTCGTAAGTTGCACTCTTCTCTTTTTTTTCTTTTTTTCCCTCTTTTTTTTTTTTTCCTGTAATTATATGCAATATCTTTCATTACAAAGAACCTGGAGACAATTTATGAAATCGGCAGCCACAAAAGCAATGTGGTGCCTGTTGGGGGTTATGTATTCACATTGATTACAATTTAACAGTCCCTCAGCCTGAGGATATCTGAGGGGATGTAGAGCCAACTGCTTTTCAATTCCTGCGCGTTGCTATAAGCAGCAAGCTGGAATTGATAGATATCTGTTGCTATTGCCAGCAACTCTTGTTTTTCTGTTACTTTAGTAGCTTAATTTAAATTATTAAGAAACTTGTGAATCTGTTTTGTTTGTTTCTGCTCTTCCCAGCAGCTCTCTGCAGTTTGATATGTATGAAATGTGCTAAGCTTCAGCTGGCCTGGATGTCTAATAAACACTTTAGTGAATGAGGCTTAGTGCAGCTTCCTCTATTAACTCAAAAGAGATGCGTTTCTTTTCTGGATTGTTTCTCCATTCAGAAGGAAAGAAGACCTGCATGGCCAGAGTTCACCTCATAAATCACCTAGACAAATGGCACTCGGGGCAGAATAAGGTACAAAATGAGAGTCATTGTGATTTAGTCTCAACGAACTTGTGGTATTCTGCTATGGAAATGTTCGTGACATGAGACAAACAGAGAGAGCCACCTGGCACCAAGCACATCTTCACGACGGAGGGAACACCACGAGAGCGACTTCAGTGGGCTCAGCAATCGTGCAGGGTATTTAGCGAGTTGTCCCATATCTCCTTAATGCTGTCTTTTGCAACAGTGCTGTGCTTTTTTCTCTTTTTTATCCTTTTCCTCTTATTTCTGATGCTCAGAATGCAGTGATTTTTGTACAAGCTGCAGGCAGTCCACACTCGCTCAGTCCCCACAGCAAGGTGTGGTACTTTCTGACACTGATTCTCCGCAGCTGCATGGAAGGGCCACTTCAGAAATCAGCTGCTCTTCATCTTCCCGGGTTTTAGCTGAGCTTAACCTTTGGTGATCAGTAAATGGACATGGTAAGAAAGGCTGTGGCCCAGCTGCTCCTCCTTGAAATTCCTGAGACTTGTCAACCAACCTCTGCGCCCTCACCTGCCTGCATTTCAGCATCCCTCTCATCTTATTGCAGTTTCTTGTCTTTCTATTGGAGGTAGAGACGTGTGAAAACATCTTCAGGGTGATGGATCATGAGTGTGGGTACAGGTGGCAGTATTTTGGGTGCAAATAAGGAAAGAAAACACTTTGTGACTTCTGCAAATGGGTGCTAGGTGCTTTCTTAACACCAGTTCACTTGATCTCCTGCCTAATTTAAACAATGCATCTTGTCCTTGTTCAATAATTTTCTTCTACTCTTAGTACTTTTATAATATCTTCATTAGTTATTGATCCAAGTTCTGAAATATTTGGGGCTGAGGGGGAGTCCTTTTTGATTCCAAGTGTCTGATAAATCTCTTTGTTGCCACCTGCAAACTCTGCTCTTGTTTCTTCCCCTCATTCTGTGTTTATTTAAAGGACCCTTCAAAATCATGTTGGCTCCCCTGGATATGATGGGACTTTTGTTCTACTAGATCAGAGCGTCCTGTCGGGGCTTTGCCATTTCTGAGGAAGCAAAGTCAGGTATCTTTCAGCTCAGTTGTTGCTTCATCTCCTCTGCTCTCCCAGGGGTCTTGCACACGCTTTCAGTTCTGCCTTACGTTTTTGATTTGGTGAGGTTCCCTGCTATTTACATTTCTTCACATATATCCTCTTCATACCATCTGCTACCTTATGTTTTGCTCATCTCTGAAATTTAGCAACTGTACTTCATGCAACAGCGTGCTACCTTATTTTCTTAACGTTTAATAAAAAGATTCAAAAAGAACAAAGCAAATTAGAACTCACCCTTTCCATCTAGACATATTAACCGGTGAGGGAACACTTCAATTAAGACCTTCAAAGCCTCGAGACAAATGAATTTGTAACTGCGATTTTGTACGTTGTTTATCCAAAAGGCACAGTATCCAATCAACTACAGTAGTTTTATTACTGACAGTAAGATAAGATTAAAAAATAAGATTATTATATATTGCTAGCCTCTCTATTAACTTTTTTCTTTAGAATTCAGCAAGTCTTGGAAGTCGTATTTACTTTAGAGTCAGCTGTAGCTGTGCCTTGTTAGGTAAAAGCTACAGTAACTGTTTTCCTGAACTTAGCTCCTGACCTACCTTTTAAGGCCACGTCTACAAAGGGATGATGCATCAATCTCGTTTGTTTGATCTAATTACAGCTATTTAACTACACTGAGCACAAGTGCATTCACCCCACTTTGTTATGCTGATTTAAGACGTTTTCCACTGTTAATCGGGTGCGCGCCATTCTTCCTTGCATCAATTCACCTCTCAAAATATTCTGGGCAGCTATCCCACAGAGCGCCGGTCTGTTACTCAGCTGCGTGTTCTTTTTCACAGCATGCTGCTAGGGAATTCTCTGAAATTTGGGAATTCTTCAGGTCAAACTGACTATTTACTGTTGCTTTTTTCTTGGCATTGATTTTTGCCTGTGCAACTTCTTTCTCAAAACGTTGAGAGGTTGCATGAAGAAGCAGCTGCTAAATCCATTACAATGCTTATTCCTGCGAGGTGGCACAGGTGGAAGGATCTAGTTGTATAGCTTCGCAGGTCTTTTGCTACTTGAGGAATGGAAGAAATGCAAAAAAAAGCGAAACCACCAGATGTAATCAACCTGTTACTTCTGTACAACGTCTACCTGGAGCAGTTTACTCAACGGTGAGCTCTTCTGGGTGTGACTGGTGGCACGGGGACGTGGTGCAGAGCTGGGATGAGCAGAAGCAGCAGCCGCCTGTTGGGACAAGGCAGAACACAAACCAAAGGCATCCCTTAGCATGCAGAAGCCCGTTGCTGTCTGTGGAAGAGCACCGTTTCTGATCACTTGCAACTGAAAATTAGCCAGTTTTATGTCAGGGATGCTGTCGTGGGATTTTTTTATGCCTATATCTGAAGAAGGTGCTGATCTTCTGTGTCATAAAGCTTGGTAATGCATAAGAAATTACTGAGAGCTTTTCCTAGGTATAGTCCATGAATCAAGTAGGGGTTATAGGGGTTCAAAGAATAAACATGGTCTGTTGAGCCAGGAGAAAGAATTTATGGAGACAGCGAACAGTTTCTTAATGGTTGTACACGGCCTTGCTCATCAGTGCAGGTGATTTACCATTAAATGGATGTAGAATGAGCCTAGGATGGGATTGTGAAACTTGCTCAGAGCAGAATCTTTAGAAACTTGAACTTACCCTGATTTGTACAACACCCGTAAGAGGAGGGGAAAGATACTGAAGGGTGGACAAAAGCAAGGAATGGGAAGACACTTTCAGTATTATGGACATCCAGTGAAAAAGTCTCTGCAAAAATAGCTGCTTGAGGAGGAAAAAATGTGCATTAAGACAAGAGATAATGAATCAATTTAATCAAAGAAACAGCATTTGGACTTTATTAGCAGATACTAAAGGCGCTGTCATGCTGCTGCGTGTTCAGTGTAGCTCAGAGATCTTCAACAGAAGTGTCAAAGTAGTTTGACTTGGCAAAATAACATTAATAAAAGAAGAAACGCTTGATCTGAAATGCACTCCCTGCACTCTTCTGTAACTGAAAGTTGCAAAGAAGTCCTCCAAGTAACTTGCTGAAATGGTAGCCTGAGGTGGTGGCCCCAAATCATCTATTCTTCCTCTAAAAGTGCACTGTTAAATTTGAAATACACCTTTCTCGCTATTTTTATTACTATAGCAAATACAGGAAGAAAAATAGCGGTCATAGAAAGACATCACGAGGCCCACTGGTCACAGCTCTGCTCCAGGACAAGAGGAAGATGCTTTGACGTGTGAAAAGATGCTGGAAAGATGTGTGGATGTTTTTATATCGTCTCCTTTAAAAATAAAGCAAAACAACGACGAAACCACTGCCCGTGCTAGTATTTTCATTGTTTAGACATCACTTCTGTTGCTCTGCTAAATCTTACTGTGAATTAAGTCTATGGCCTGTTCTGCTTTTTTAGGCATGAACGTTTGGTTGTCGACCTTCAGTGTAGCAAAGTGGAAGATGGCTGTTTTGTCCCCTCTCATGTAAGCTCTCCCTTTTTTTTCCCCTTTTCCTTTTTTCTTTTTCCTTTTTTCCCCCCGTTTTTAATGCAATATTTCAACTTGTTCTTAGGTTTAGATTTTCTAAGCCTCCCAGCCTTCTTGTTGCTCTCTTTGTGCTCTTCCCAGCTGGTTTATATCTGTTTTTATTTTTAATGTGGTGCCTGAAATTGGATACAATATTCCAGCTGAGATTTCACCAGGACTGAGTTGAACAAGATAATTGTCACGGGTGTCCTACGTAAAACAACCTTATTAAATATTTCTGTGATGTATTATCTTTATTGTGTTGACTCAAATTCAGTTTGTGATCCATTATAACCACTGGCTTCTTTAGTGCAGTTCTGCTGCCCAGCCAGTTTTCCCCCTTACTGTGCACGTTCATGTCTTGATCTGTGGCTACAGAAAACGACTGAAAATGTCGTGCCTGAAGACAAGGGGGAGAAAAAGATCTGAGGAGGGTTTCCAAATGCACCATTGGTGTGAACTCCAAGTGGGCCAGCCTGCAAATGGAAGAGGAATTGTCAGTTAATGTTCTTTTTCAACAACGGATGGGATTTATGTTTTATTACTCAAAAAGTTCATAGAAGTCCTAATGTGAGCTGGAATAGGAATGTTTGCTTGCAAGTGGGAAGGAAAATAGTTACACTACGTGAATCTTGGGTTATAATTCTTGCGAAGTTTTTCGCTGTCCTGTCACTCACAAGATGAGCAGAACAATTTTATTAATGTCCCTTTTAAAAAATAATAATTGTGGCTGTGGAGTTGAGATAAACCGAAGTTAAAATTGAGCGGCTTCGTAGAAAGAAGAAATCAACAACCAGAAGAGCTGTGCAATTCTGCTTTTGTCCAAAACTTTTAAGGATGTAAAGATGCAATCTGTGTATGCGAGGTGTCCTCTTGGTCTTTCATGCAGCTGTCTGGTGAGAACATTGCCCAAACCAACCAACCACCAAAAATTCAGGATCCATTTCTGCCCTGTGCCCCCTTGTGTATTATTGTTTAAAGAAGCATGAAGAGGTGACAGACAAGGCTTTGACAGCATGGAGCAAGGTGTGCTTGAAGTCCTGAACGTCTGTGGAGAATGGAAGACCCCGAGAAGAGCAGCCAAGGTTTGTTTGCTAAAGAGAAGTATGAATAAAGCAGGTATGATTTTTTTTTTTTTTCTGGAGAGGTTAAGAGACCTTTGAATGAAGCAGGTGATGCATGTTCCAGGCTACGTTCTTTGTGGTGGAAATGAAAAGCCATTAGCAAAATCTAGAAATAGGGTGGGAGACTTTCATGGTCTTCTGGCAGCTTCTGGGTCTTCTTTTTGGAAAGCTCTACCCTAAGAAAATATTGTTCTTTCATTTATAATTGTTCAGAGTTACATTGCTATGGTGAGTTTGTGTCTGTGTGTGTGTGAGTGGAGGTTTGGCTGCAGCCAGGGTCACTGCTGAGTCCTCCAAGTGCTGTCTGACAGAACTTGCTGAGCCTGAGCGTATCCCAGCGCCAGGTCAGCCTACATATTATTCACTCTGTATTTCATGCTTCTTTACGCTCTCGTGACCCGGATGAATTTAACAGGGAACTGAGCAGTGTGTTCAGTTTTCCTATGGGTGCATCTTACACTTCTGCCCATCTTAGCCCAGTTCCTGCACTGTTAGGCAGTCTGTAATTACAAATCAAATCAGAAAACCTGCCTTCTCAAATCCTGTCTCATTTAATGATTTTTTTTTTTCAGATTTTCTTTTTATCCTTATTTTTTGATGTTTGTTTACATATTTATGGCATACAATTTGTGTGCTGCAGTAAATACAGAATTACTAATTGTAATGGAATTTCATTATGTTTTTCACTATGGTATCTGAATGCTTTTTAACCACTATAAATGTATCTTCGTGATATTGCACAGAGGTTTTCCTCTCGTTTCATTGCTGCAAAGCAGGGAAATTTATGGCAAAGCTATCAAAATTCTTCACTGTATCTTTATATTCCACGGTGACAATAAACAACTTTTCAACGTGTTCCAGTAAACTAATTATAAATATCTTCATTAGTCATCCACCAGGTTGCAGATGAGCGTTCCAAGCACACTGCTGGTATTGTTTTTCCCCGGTGGTTGGACTTCCACGATGTGGGACTCGAGGAGCCTCCCTTGGTCACCAAGCCTTATGCCAGGTGTCTACAGGTAATCAGATCTCATTTTGTCCATCAGGACGACAAACTCCAGCATAAAACTGGTTAGTGCTTTCAGCCCAGTAGCCCCACTAGAAGGGCTTTTATAAATTTAATTTTTCTACTGAGACCTCCTACTCTAACTTCCATCAGTAATCAGGCCTCCTTGTGTATTGGGTGCTAACGAAACCCTTTAGTTTAAGTACCTGTATTCATACCATAAGCTATGTATACAAACTAATCCTATTCTATTTCAGCCTTTCTTTTGTTGGGAGTTTGCTGAACTAAAACTTCAATCTTTCCTCATGATAGATTCTTTGTGCTTATAACCATCTCAGTAAGCCTTTTCTATGACTGTTCCAATTTTCACATATCTGCCATTATAAGCTGGACACAGAATTCTGCAAGAGTCACTGCAATAACATCTGGATGTGCCTTACCTGGCCATGAGATCGCATTGGTTCTTCTTCATTTTTGTGATGTGTGGTCATTCTGTGCCCAAATAATGCTTTTGAGTCTTTATCCTTCTCTATTAACCGTGATGATTTCCCAAATTCCCAATTACAGGAATTTTGACTAATAGTCCCTCAGCTTTGTGCTTTGCATTATTCTTATTGCTGCATCCCACTTTGCTGGTCCATTCCTCAGAATTCCTGTGCTGTTCCAGAACCTCGTCTGGTTCTTCATTTACCACGTTCCAGTCTTCTGTCCTGATGCTTTCTAATTTTGTCAGGAGCGAGCTGTATTAATGCTCCTCTTGCCATTGCTCGTGTGAAGGTCACTTAGCAGGAATAACACAGGTCCTGAGACCAGTGCTGGAGGAGCTTCTCATGCACTCACTCTCTAGGCTGAAAGTTTGCATTTCAACACAATTCAGCATGTTTTCTTTAACCACTTGTTATCTGCAAAACTTTTCTTTCAACAATCTTCATCTTTTCCAGTTTAACTGGTAGTTCTGCATGTGGCATCAGATCAAATGTTCTGCTGAAGCAGGTGGACTGTGTTTTCCTTTACAAAGAAAGCTATGTTTTCTTATTGAAGAAAGACATCAGATTTGTCTGGCATGATTGCCTTTGTTAAACCTATATTGCGTGTTATCCATTTGTTTTCCTGTTTTCCTCCACATCATTTCAGGTGAGAAATAAGTTTTACATCTCTCACTGAGGTCAGGCTAATTAGTCTATAGCTGTCTGGACACGACTTTCGAAGTCTTTGGTTTGCTGTTGTTTTTTTGTCTCCCCATAGTAGCATGACAAATCCAGATTATTTTTGTACCAGTAGAGGTGATGGAAAATAAATCAATCATTTGCATCAAAACTCAACTCCTTCACTTTTTTTTTTTTAAAAAGATGCTATGGCATGGCTATTAATACAAGGGGAACAGCATTAATTTTGAAGTATTGCAAAGTCCTTTTAAAAAATAATAACGAGAAGTTTCTCAACTAATGAAAGCTGAATCCAGAACCCTATTATCACGTGTAACTGTTGATAACTGCCAGTGGATCATTATAACCCCTGGAAAGTTTGATCACTTATGTCTGGAAATTACGTTCCTTGTGCTGCTTCAGCATTACTTACTGCTATCATTCCTTTGTTTAAATAGAAATTAATGTGTGCTGGCTACTCTACATGTATGTATAAAGCAATCCTTAAGAAAATACAGAATAAGAATAGACAAAGTCAGTAAAACATTACAATAGGAAGGTGGTGGATCTGGAGGAAGACGTGGGGAAAACTGCAGTGCTCTCAGTGATTACAGTAATCCATGGCACTGGAAAACCTAGGTCACTAACTGTGTTTCCTTAAAAGTAGGAGAAAATACTTTAAATACTTTGTTTCATAACGTATGTAGTTACACTCCTTACCAATACATATCATGGGTATGAATCTTTGTAAGCACATTTCATTTAGGTATCTAATTATGAGGGTAGGAATGTAAGCAACAACCCATGGACGTGTTTTTTTTTGTTTTTTTTTTTTCTTTCTTTCTGGGTATGCTCAATATTTTTATAAATGTTATAAACATTTTAAAATTATGTCTTCTTTATGTTTCTCCAGAACGTCTGGAGCTCAGGATTCAGTTTTACAGAGAACGAACAGTTCTGACCGGTGCCTTTGTTTTACTGAAGGTGAGTATGATAGTATCAGTCTTTATGAAGAAGTAATATTGCTAAGGTTTGATTGTGGGCCTCTTTAAAGTCATAGATAACAGCAAGATAAAAATGACCTTGTTTCTCTGCTCCAGTAATGAATTCCAGAAGTTCCAGTGAAGCTGGTCTAAATGCCCCTACATTTTTGGTTTTTAATGCAAGTAAATTTTTACTGAGGTGCATACTTGGGAAGGTAAGAATCTTACTTTTAGGCCATGTACATTTGAGCAAGATTACAGAATGGAGGCCTTAAAAGCAGAAAATCAGTCACATCCCTGCATGCAGACTGCAAGCTCCCCATGTGGGTTAGATTACAGAATTAAGATTTTGAAATACACATTTATGGATGACTGTTGAAAGGTAGATGAGTAGAATTTCTGTCTGGCCCTTTCACGATCAAATGTTTCAAAGCTGGTCAACACCTTGTTTATTTGCAATATTGCATTTTTTTGTTGTTTTATTACATTTTGTGAGAGTTATTTGTGCCTTCCTTTGTATGTCTGAAATGAAGGGACATTACTAAGTGTTCTCCCCATAGCATGAATATTTGTTCTTTCGCTGTATTAAGTATTGTGTGTGCGCCTATATGATCCCAACAAAAAGCTCTTAAAATCAATTTTAGAAAGAGATTTTCAAAGCACATCATATGATTGAGTCACAGTGCTGGATGAACTAAGCTATTGTAGAATCTCATATAAAATGCTTAGAATTAATTTGCCAAATAGGGGTATTTTACAAATAAGCATGGATTCAGCCAACTTCCCCCAGCGATTTTATTTCAGTGTGACCTGAGTTCCCAATACGGATGAGCTGGTGTCTTTTAGAAATCAAAAATCTTTAGCCCTTCTCCAAAGAAGATTTTCTTTGTGTTCTCAGATGCACAGATACTCATTTTCTTGAGCTAGGAGCTGGTATGAGTCTTATGGGCGGATCCTGCAAAGTGCTGAGTACATGGTTAACTTTAAGGGAGTATATGCTTAAAATCACTGGGGCTGCCGATGTTTAAAATTACGCATATACTTAAGTACTCCGATGGCCCGAGGCCAGTGGCTTTTGCATCTTCTAGGACAGAGCCCTAAGGAGCCTACAGTGAATAGCTGCAGCTGAATTTTCTTTCCCCGTTTTAAATACGAGGCTTAAAGCAGATATTCTGACAGATGTTTAATTAAAATAGTCATTTCAAATGTGAGGAATGCAATATGTGAAGTTGATATGCCTGGTTTCTTTCCGTCTCTCCTGGCATCCAGGCTCGCTCCTCTCCAGCGTTAGTGCAGGGCTTGCAGTTTTCAGCAGTGCTCCGTTCCCGTGCCGTCCTCCTCCAGCTTTTCCATCTGCTTCATTCTGTTTGGAAAATGGCAATGTAGAATGTGTTTGGTGTAACCTTAATCCTGACCAGCATCTGGGCTCCGTTTAAAAAAAAAAAAAAAGCATCTACTGCAGGCAAGGTTTCTGTATATGCTTCCCTGCTTCACTAAAACAAAGTTGGGGAGGGGGGGAAACAACAGCCAAAAATAACAATAGGAAATAATATTTGTTTTAATGGACATTTTTATTAATACGTAGGTTTTAATATATTTTCCTGCCTACGTGGGCAAACTGCGATGCTTGTACTTTTCACCTCGTCTCTCCCGGTGTTGCACGTCAGAGGTAAACCGGATTCGCACCATTTCAGTAAGCGAAAGGAGAGGGGGGCACCTTTGCACCTTTACATCTTTTACCAACCACCCTGTTAATTAGCCACGAAATATGTAAAAGTGAATGCCACCATAAAAAAAATAATAATAATAATAATAAAAATAACGAAGTGAAATTCCTGCGTGATGCCTTCTGACATTTCCCTATTAAACTTTTACAGGCCTTTTAGAGGTCCCCGGTGGAGAGGCGATTTTATTCCATATTCCAGAAGAAAGTAACGGGGATGAAAATCGTGGCCAGCGGGGGAAGCCCCCGGCCCCTGCAGGTTGCTCAGGTCGGTGGGATGGGGACGGGCTGGGGATGGGCTGAGGACAAATGGGGACAGGGACAGCGTGGGGCGCCACTGGTCCCGGCAGTGCCGGGCACCGGGCTCCTCTGGAAATCCGGCGCTAGATGTCTCCAGCACCTGGAGATCGCGCACATCCCTCTGTCAGCGCGGAGCATCCTTGGGTTTGTCCACAAGGCAAAGCAGCCGCTTCGGAGCGAGTCCCGATCGCTGCGGGGCTCCCCTCGCTACGAGGAGAGCGGCGCTGCCCCGGGGGGTGCCCCCTTTTCGGGTTTTCTTTCCTATTTATTTATTCATTCTTTCTCTTTTTGCTTTTTCCAGCCCAGAAGTCGGTGGTACAGTGCCGCATCTGCCCAGCACGCACTTCAGGGTTGTTGAACTTCACTCCCCGAGCAGCCACAGAGGTCGCTTCTGAGCAGCACGAAACGTGGTGGATTTTTTTTTATTTTTTTAAATTTTTTTTCCTCCCCACCAAGGCTCTCGGTCCCTCATGGCCGGAGTGGCAAAGCACGTTTAAATCCTTAACTCGGATTTCCCACGTGGTGTCTCGTTGAGCTGCTGTCACAGGCACGCCGCTCGCTCATTTACACGGGGCGAATTCACTTATTTCCTGCTGGCGCGGAGAGCGCAGGAGGTGATTAACACTCTTAATGAAACGGTATTTCCAGACACCACAGAAAAAAAGAAAAAAAAAAAAAAAAAGAGAGAAAAACCCACGACTTGTGGGAAAAGCCAGCTCTCATCAGCAGCAGGCTCTTGCTCTTTGAGTCCACCACCGAGTGGACAAATACAGGGTACAAAAATACAAAATACAAAGGTGACTGAAGTTGGGCTCCTCTTTTCAGGGGTGTTAATTCAGGAGTTAATTCAGCCCCGTTGGGTGCATTTGGGGTGCGGGTACATGCAAACAGCACGCCTGGTTTGGGGGTGAGGGGTCAGCAGTGTGTGCTGGGAGGGAAACCCCACTTGTTTGTGTGAATGCAGCATATATTGGACGTGTGTAAGCATTACATTGAGGGGGGGGATTTTTATTTTTTTTATCTTTTCACCCCATTCAGAGACCTTGGACATAACGCGTGGTGTTTCGGCACTGAGAAAGGAGAAAGGGAATGGGGGGGCAGGGAGGGGAGTGCCCAAAGTTGCATCTGGCCTTCAGACCCCACTGTAATTCCTGGTGGAAGGTGTCCCTTACCTTTAATTATTCAGTTTAGCCAGACCTACAGTGCACCTCGTGTCACTTTCAGGCCTTTTTCCTGGTGTCTCTAGGAGGCACCCTTCATCGAGCAAGGGGATAAAATCTTGGCAAAAAGAGCACCAAAGGATGTGAACCCCTAGGAAAATTCCACTTCCTGTATACTAATGCTTGTCCTTGGGTCTCTCACTCGTTCCCATGCATTTAACAAGGGATTTGTGCCTGAGGCTACGACACCAACTTTCTAAATAAACGCAGCGCTGCAGAGAATAACCCAGCTCGCTGCTTTTTCCCCTTGTGCGCTGAGCAGCTCAGCACGACCTACGTCTCCTCTCCTCCTCCTCCTCCCCTCCATTTTATTTCTCCTCTTTCTTTTTCAGCAGACTCAACTCTCTCTCCTGCTCAACTTGCTGTGAACAAAAGGCTCCGTTCCAGATCCAGCCCGCAGTTGCCGTGAGAAACTTCTCTGCGAGCGCTGGCTGTCGCGCTGCCTCCCTCGCCTGCTCGCTGCCTCCCTGCCTCGGTAAAATGGCAGTGCAAGAGCTTCATGAAAAGGGTGAAAACCCTCCTTTCTCGGCCCCTGGCTCTCCAGCAGCACTCCCCCTGCCCTATTCGTGACTCCTGAACTCCAACTTGGCTAAAAATACACTTTCAGAGGGCAGAATTGCACGGGAGTGATTTTTTTTTTTTCTCTCTCTCTTTTTTTTTTTTTTTTTTCACTCCACTGAAAAGAGCAGCAGAGGGTGGGAGAAACACAGAGGGACAGACTTGCTCGGAGTCGGCAGCTTTCTGCGTGCTGGCGAACTCTCTGCTGGTTTCGCCTCCCTGCACGCTGCTGCCAGTTCCCAAGTACTTAAACAGAATAATAGTTTTGCTTCAGTGGGAAAATCCAGGCCCAGAGTTGAGGTCTGTCTCTTTTCGCAGCTTTGAAAGCCTTTTTAACTCTTCCAAGTGGGGTTTGCAGCCTGATGGGGCCGCTCTGCAAGCCCACCGGCCAGGTCCCAAATCTGGTGGGATTCAGGAGAAATGAGACGGTTGGCTCCTGATCCAGTGCAGGGGTTTTTACGAACTCCGCTCCGCGTTTTGTTTTATTTTTTGCCTTTTTTTTTTTTTTTTAAGTAGATTTACTCTTCCTTCTCCGAGAGAGCGCTCAGCACCAGAGAGCTGATGTCTGAGGGCGGCAGTGGAGCACGGTGTGCACAGCCACCTCTAGAAAATCAATGCCGTGGCACCTTAAACTTGTTTCCCTCCTCGCAGGGACCGTGTTCAGAACAGCAGTGAATTCTCCCTGGGAAATTCTGACATCCCACTTCCACTCTTTTCGTTTTTAATGCCGGGGGCGAGCTGCTCTCCCCTCTCCCCCCCCCCCCCCCCCCCCCACCGCCCACGTGTGCACCCAAACTCGCTCCGGCTCCGCAGCCTGGAGCCGCGAGCAGGATGCGCTGCGGGCTCCGCGCCGCTTCCCTTCCGCTCCGAATCCGCTTCGCTTTTTCCTCCTCCTAGCGAGGGCTGCAAAAATCGTGCGTTTTCCCCCAGCCAGCCCCGCTCCGCTTTCCTCCCTCCCTCCCTCCTTCCCTCCATGCGCATCCAAAGTTTTGCAGTTTTGCAGCGCTCCCGTCGGATGCTAGCGGCCGGCTCCGGCGGCGCGGCGGGGGCAGGGGCTCGCTCCCTTCCCCTCCCTTCCCTCCGTGCCCTTTTTGGTGCCAGCTCGGTGGGAAAGCTGCAAATCCAGCCTGCGATCCGCTCCTGCCTTTGAGCTGTGCTGCTGCGAGCTGGCGGAGTTACCTTCTGCTGAAAACTCCACTTTGCAGCGTGCCCCTGTGCCATTGTGTCAGCCCTGGAGAGGGAGATTATACGCTATCTTGACATATTTTTAAGAGGATAAATAAGCATTGTCTCGCACAATGCCCCAGCACATTAGCCACTCACGGCAAACAAATAATTCCAATAACGTTAATCTTAGTGGTTATGAAGCTGCGACGAGAGTGCTTAACCTAGATATGATAGTGGCTAAAAGCCTGGAGAGAATGGGCTGGACAAATGCAAACATATTTGCAGGAAATGTAATTTTCTTTAGCAAAACTACTCTCAGATAAGCCAAGGGACCGTCGATAACCTTTCCTCGTTCCATTCCATATTTTGCGGCGTGCTCCGTGAATTATAATAGATGGGTCTCTTGTTCTTGGGTCCAGTCTGCATATCTCAGCACACTGTGCCTTTCAGGAAAATGGAAGAGCATCCTTCTTCACCCAACTACCTTAATTGCTCCTCAGCGCGTTTCATTCGAGCGTGGCCGAGCTACCCGATACTTTATTAGAGAAACTCTGCCCAATTCCCGAAGTGCTGATCCAGTCCACGTTTGTAGCAAGTTGAAAGGCTGGGGATAATGATAACTTGTGTGTGTGCGAGCGTGAGGGAGCGCGGCTGACTTTAGTCCGGTTTCCATGTCAACGATTCAGTCCATATTTGCCATCACACAGTTGGCAGAGCCTTTTTTTTTATTTTTATTTTTTTTTCTCATGGGGGAGACGCTACTCCTGTTTCTAGTACTCTATAATCTACACCAGGTTTCCTTCGCCGCCTTAGCGCTGGGTTAAATGGCACGGCCACCTCCATGGAGGAGACTCCGCTGGGCTCAGGAGGAGCCAGCCTAGCGGTGGCGGCCTGCGCTGCCAGGGGAGAGCGCCGAGCTGGCTCCCCAGCCCATCTGAGCAGCTCGGGGCCGAGCCTGCCGTGGAGGAAAGCGTGCTCAGCACTTCGGGAGATGGGGAAGAGACGACCGACGGCCGCACACGGCTCAGCCGAGAGCGCTGGGGCTGGGAAGAGCGTCGACGTGTCGCAAAGTCTCGTCCCGTCGTGCAGAGCTGGGTAGTTTTGCCACGGGATGGCACGAGCGGCGGGAGGATTTTCAGCTCTTAGGTGGAAATGTTGTTAAGAACTGTTCCGTCATCTGCCTTCCAAACCCCATGGCTGGAATTTCATTGAACGCCTCAGTTATTTAGTGAAGTGCCAGGGCCTCATTGATGAGGCATATTCCAAAATCTGCTTCAGCTTTCACAAACATTTGGTAAAGTGAGTGTCTCCTTACTGTGTGGGTGGCTGGGGAATCCAGCCTGCTTTTCACATTACAGTCAACACCAGGTTTCATAGTCTGCCCTAGCGCTCTTTGAAGAAGATTCCAAAAGCCTGAGACACGTGGGGTACCTCGGAGCGTGGAGTCTTTGGGTGCCCCTGGGCTGAAACTGCAGCTCCTGATCTGCAGCCAGTGAACTCGTGGTGGGGCTCAGTTGGACAGCAATGCTTCACCTCCCGAAGCAGAATGTAGCTTTGGAGTTGAGGAGATTGTTGCTTGAGACTGATCTGGAGCTAAATGGCAGAATTGCTTCCAGTTGGGTTTTTCTTGTAGTAAACAAAACATCTAAACAAGAGTATTTTGGTGCTGTGGACCGCTAGAGCCCACCATGGGCATTAATAAAGCCACAGGGGCTCACTTGAGGGAGTCTGGCCTGATGTGCTGAAGGAATTTTTCCTTCTGCTTCTCTGCTTTTTCTAGAATGTCGGGTTTGATCAAGTAACAGAGGCTCCTCCAAAGACAGCACGTAGATCAACTTTCCGTTCTAGCATTTTCCCCAGTTTTCAAACTCTTCTGACGAAGAGTACCTCGGCAGTTCTGCTGCATGGTCCCGGTAAAGCCACAAGACCTCACCTGGGAGATTCTAGCACTGAGCTGAGGCTCCAAACTTCATGAAGGCCTTTGAAGGCGTTTCGTATCACAACACAGATGCCATCATTTATGACCCTTTGCTTTCTAATAGTTTATTTACTGCTGTGGAGGAAGACTGACTGACCAATTTACTGTGAGGGAATCTGCTCCACGCTGCACAGTCAACTGTAAAGACTGTAAAGTGGCAAAAGGCTTTGTCCAGGATCCTGCAGGGCACTTTATTGCTCCAGAATACATTTAAAATTTTGCTATTTATTGCCCCATCCAGACTCCCCTCCCACTTTCAGCTTTGGAAGAAACCCTTTTGTTCTGCCACCTGCATTCTGGATAATAAATATTTTATACGATAACTTTTACAGTGAGGGTGAGGGTTGAGTTGACAGCAGTAGACACCGAAATCTTCACTTCGTCCCTAACAGGCCTGGAGCACTGGCACTGATTCCATCCTTCTGTGCCTTGGCTTGCCTCTTGCTCCAGACCCAGGTTCCCCCCCTGTCCTCAGTGGTGTTAAAATGGGATTTCTTGTGGTGCGGCCTGCTGATTGTTAGGCTTAGGCCAAGCTTCAGGCCTTCATCACTGTAACTCTGGTAATCGAGGTTGCTTCTGCCCCAGTTTTTGTTTCAAGGTGGTCTAAAATGGAAGCCTGCATCTCAGAAGCTTCCTTTGACTCCTTACCCGTTGTTTTCTGGTGTTTTCTCTCTGTGAAGTTGTGTTGACTTCTACCTGGCTTTGCCAAATACTTCCCTATGCCGGAGGAGACACCTTCCTGCCCAGCTGTCCTGATCCAGTACCCAGACGGAGAGCTGAACTATATGACTGCTATTTTTATTGGGCAACCATTTCCTAATTTCTGTCAGCTTGTGTTTTATAACCTGAATAACTCATATTTTTGTTTCTTTCCCACAGATCTGTACAATCTGAAGTAAAAATTGCAACCACAGGACCCACTGGAACAGGCCAGGCCAGGGGACATGGCTCTAGGACCAAGCTCTGGGTACATTTCTTTCCTCCCTCCTCCCACTATGAGAAAGGCTGGGGGGTGGAGGAGGTAGAAAACTGGGCCTGAAGTGTTTGCAGAAGAACGTGGCCTAGTTTGGTTCACCCTCGGACAGTTGGGGAGCTCCAGCACCTCGTTATCCTTTGAGACGGCGGGAGCATCCCGTCCCATTGCCCAACGTGTTGTGTCTAGACACGTTCAGGTGGTTGTGGTTGTCCCCGTTCAGCCACCCCGAGGGAGTTCCTGGTTCACTGCCCACTGCTGTCGCTTTGGCAGGAGCGGGAACCGGACTTTCTTGGATGTCCGTGTGTGCAGTTATTGTCATGGCACGCCGCCAACTCTTTTTTTTTTTTTTCTTCTTTCCAGAGGGACACAACCAGCGGAGAGGAAATGACAAACCTTAATAGTTTGCAAAGGCTAATTCTAAATGGAATTTCTAGGGACAAAGAAGAGGCGCTTCGTTAACCCACGGGCCGTCTTCCCTGCCGAAAATCCAGAGCCAGTGTTGAGCAACGCAGCCATGTGCCCTCACTGCTGTCCCCGGGAGGTGGGCTGGTGGCCTGCTGATGGTGGGAACCACGGCCTCACCGCCCCGGCAAGGCAAGGGGGGCTGCCTCCCGAGCAGGGCCTCCAACTGGAGCGGGATAAGCCCAGCTGAGGCTGGGGGGCTTCCTCCTGCCCTGGTTCCGCTGGCTCCCCAGGCGATTTGCTCGCTTCTTGGTTCTGGTTCAGCCCAGCTTGGTTCAGCCCAGCCCGCTTCATCCTGGCCCAGTTCAGCCCAGCTCAGCTCAGCCTGGCCCAGCTCAGCCCAGCCTGGTTCAGTTCCGCTCAGCCCATTTCATCCCGGCCCGGTTCCTTTCAGCCCAGATCAGCCCAGCTCGGTTCAGCCAGGCCCAGTTTAGATCAGCCCATTTCAGCCCAGTTTGGCTCAGCCCGGCCCAGT